CGCCCGGTTGATGGCATCGAAGAGTTTCTCGAAGTCCTCACGGCAAGGCCGCCCGTAGAAACCCAGATTGGTACGTCTTTGTTGGAGAGTACACCTAATCTTTTGTGGCTAGAAAAGGAAACCAAAAGGAAACACCAACCTCAACAAGGATGCTACACGTTTAGGACGCCCCTTCACTCCCACAGGCGATCGGCTCGCTCGCGCTGGCTCTAGTCCTCTTGGATGCTCTCAGGGTCACTGCCTTGGGACAGGATCTTCAACAGCACGGGGTCCGAGGTGAAGTAAAATCGCCTCGGCGATAAAGAGATATGGATATGGGAAAATATTCATAGTCTGATATGAGTTCCTTCATGTGGTTCCTATGAATCCTTTCCTTTCAATATTTGGCGATGCACTAAACCATACATAAGTAAAACCAAAGAGGTATTGTTAAAAAAAAACAACTAAGAGAATACTAAAAGACTAACAATAAATAACAAATTGCTTGCAAATGAGTCTCTTCTCTAGCACAAATATGAACATGACAGACACCTAAAGTTGAATCCAGAACCACCGAAGTGCTGGGTGTTCCTTGTTGCCCGCGTAACGTGTATTTAAGGCGGTTTGCAACAGTGGCCCTTGAAACCAGAGAGGGCAGAGAGGGCATTGGAGCCCTTGTGGGTTTTACTATGTTTGGAGTTTCCAAGGTGGGTGAAATTCAGGGGAGGCTAAAACAAACATTGAGGTGCTGAGAAGACTCAATTGCATGCACGGGTTGAGATAATATATACGGAGTCCGAATAAACATTGAAAACGCTTTCATTAGTCACTAGAGCTAGCGGTCTTTCAATCAGGCGACCTTTAGTTCACGATTGGAGAAATCAGCATGTCTTTCTCTACCCACTCTACCGCTTGCAAAAGTCATCCCTTTCCCATCTTTCTCCCAATGACAGTTGTCCACGAGCAAGAAAGACACGCCATGGAAGATAAAACAATATATATATATATGTGTATCATAATAATACCGAAATAGAAAATGAGGAAAATGATATGAACAAGTCAAGTCAAGGATTCTACAAATAACCGTATACAACCAAGAATCCTTGCCCATCGACTGCCAAGGAAGAAATCATCCAAGAAGCGCTCAATCTCTCATGGACACCCTCCTTTTAACCCTGGAACATGGAATGGGAGCGAGAGGATGGGTGTTCCTTCTCGCTTTGCTGGGACCCGGGCGGGAACTTGTTCCGCTTGCCCTCCAGGTAGCTCTCCAGGGACTTCTGGCACTTCTCGAGGCCCTCCGACAGGACAGGCAGCATCTGCTTCAGCATGTCGTTCCTCGGAAAAGGAAACCCATCACCCCAATTTGATTGGAGCGGCACCCCGAGCTTTCTCGGGCGCGCCTTTGCGCCCAAAAAAGTCGAGTCTTCTGAGTCTGCTCCATTCGTCTGCCCAGTTTGGTGACACCAATTTTACAGGGCGCTCCAAAAGATACACCCACGAAAGCCTATAAGGGAGAGAAAGCCAAAGGCCCCCAAAGCCACCCCCACACAAAAAGGTTCTTGACAAGGGATTCTGATCGAAGGGTTCTGAGAACCTTTCTGGCGGATAACTTGGATATGGACCCTGGACCCACCCAAAAAAGGCAACACAAAAAGCAGGCCTGGAGCGCCTGATAAGGTCAGGGCTGCAAAAAGGCAAGGCAAAGGCGGACATGGATCCGCCGAAACGGAAACTCCAGGAAACGAGATCCTCTCCAAGGGGGTCATAGGGCACGAATCAGAGGCAAACCCAGAAAATTGTGTTCGCATTCTCAAGGCCAGGGCGTCCAATCCCAATCAAACCACAAATCAAAGCCTTCTCTGTGCTGTTTTCATTCTTCTTCATTTTTGTTTTGAAGGATAAGAAAGCTCTTGGCTGTACAACAGAAAGGAATTCCCTGCCCATTAGGACACTGAAAAGTGCCCGGCTGCTCCACCAACAGCGCTCCAGCTCCCGCTGACCCGCTGACCGCTGCCGAGCGGCTGGCAGCAGGGCACCACGTATTTTGTGTCCGCAGACTTCCTGAGCTCGACCATGAAGGTGGGCGAAAGCTGGCACCATCCCATGGTTCAGTCATGCCCCTTTCCCAATTGAGCCATCTACTTTCCCTTTCATCAACCTGGTGGATTAAGAAGGGGGTGTTCTGTGTGGACACTTGCAGACACTATGTTGCGAACCCCAACCCCCCCCCTTTAAGGGGGGGCATTAGGAGGGCACCCTGAGATCAATGACTATTAGGCCATTGAGGATCAAGGGCCATGACCCACCCCATGGCTCCCATTGCGATCTGATGCTACACGGTCTGCCACGGGACTTTGGAGACACCCAGCAACAGTACATCACAATTGTGAGTGGGGCTCTTTTGCAGCAAGACGGGGTGTTTTCGACCCCCAGGGATGGAACGGTTTCCCCCGGAGGGGGGAAGGGGGGGGGAGGGGAACTTCTACCCTTGTGCCCATCAGGTCAAAGGGGAACCACGGCAAAGTTCCTTGCCCGATCAACTGAGCCAACCATTGGAAGCCACGTCCAGGTGCTGTTTGCAGGCTCCACTCGAACAGACCCCACTCTGCCAGGAGACATCATGATCTTCACCCAGTCCTTGTCGATCTGCTGAAACTTCTTCGCCTCTCACCCCGGATTTTTGTTTGTCAGTAGAACCTCTCGAAAATGTATAGGTGCAGCTCCTGCAAAAGCTCTGAAATGGAACACCCCCAATCCAAATCAGGGGGTGGTGTACCCTGGGTTCTATTGGATACCATCAATAAAACGTGTATACAGAAAGTGCAACTGTGGCGCTATGTAAATGTTCATGTGTATGTGACATTGGTATTTTGATGTGTATGTATGTGTATGTATAAATGTACATACATAGATATTTATATATATATAATCATGTGTACATATATAAAACACATAATCATACATTGTACATGATACACATATACATCACACATCGCCAAGGTCGTTCCTTGGCTCTTGGCTTGGTATCTGAGCGAGTGCTTTTGGAATTGGGAAGCTTGGGTGTAGGGTTTGCGCACTCGCCAGCAAGAAGGCTGGACAAGTAAGCACGTTGCAAACATGACATGCGTTGTGGAAACACATATGTGTGAGAGAGGGCCTATTTGGTGCATATGGGTGTGTGTGTGTGTGTGCGTGTGCGCATATACACCTCAATGTGTGGACGACCCATTTCTCGAGCGAGAGGGGCCTTCAGGCACCTGATAGAATCCTGCCTTGGGAGCACGCTGCACAGGGTAGAAGCTTAGATCAAGGGAGCACCCTTCAGCACCCTTCAGCAAACTTGTTGCTGCAAAACAAGTCGTCATTGAACAGTCCCATTCTCTCCGCTTCTCGCTTGCCCTCCGCCGGGTCAGCAACCTGTGAGATTTGCCCTTCCAACCCACATTGACAAAGGATCGTCCCAGTTAAGACGGAATTGCAAAGACTCCCTTTCCGGGAGGACAGTCTCCGGCCTCTGTGCCAATGTTTGGGAGGCTGTTTCTTGGAAGGAAAGGGGAGCATCTGAGGTTCTGCAAATGGAACTCAAACTGGGTGTGGGTGATGTCCCGTTGGCTTCCTTCCATACAAACACCAAAAAGGGTAGCCTCAAAATAGACACCCAGTTGGGTTTATCCAGGCATATGGGGTGACACCCCAGCATAAGCTTCGGTTTCCCTTTTGCCCTTTAAACCAATATCACAGTACATACTCCACTGCTGACTGTTGGGTTCTTTCCCCAAAAGGAGATTCCTCTTGAAATGGGCGGCTTCGTGGGCTCCGTGGGTCTTCAAACCAACACGAAACAAAAGAACCAACCTCCGGAAGAAGAAACAAAAAGCACCCACAAAAAGCAACCTCAAAACAGCAACGGAAAAAGAAGGAAAAATGGGAAGAAAAAAAGAAGCAAAAAAAAGAAGATGAAAAAAAACGGGGAAAAAAAACACCGCAAACGGGCAGCACTAAGTAGCCAACTCCCAGGGCCACGAACTTCGCACCGGTTCCCGGCTCCCGGGTTTTCCCGTGGCCTCCATGGGCATCTGCTTGGCAATGTCGCCCCCGGTGAAGACCGACTCCAAGGACGTCCACATCTGCTGCACCTGCCCCGCAGCAGTCCCAGGTGAGACACCTCCAATACGTTGTTTGCCCCTGTCCCAAAACCCCTTGGATCCAAATGGTCAGAAAGGTACTCCCGAACCGAGGTGAGTCGCTTCCCATGTGCTTTTTGATTTTTCCTTGGTGAGTCACCAAATCAAAACCCCAGGGTTTCGCAAAAACCAGTGGATCGACATGGTGCTATAAAGGTCCCTATGCTTTACTATCCCGGATACATGAGGCAGCAGAACAGTAGAACCACCCAACTGGGATCGGTTTTGGGCGCGGCACGCTTACTCTTGAGGGTTTATCAATTGGCACAGTGTTTCTAATCGAAACCTGGTCCACCCCAAAACCAAAAGGATGGACTAAAAGAGCCAATAGTTCGGCTCCCTTACAAGCGTTACTCCTTATGTGTGCAAGATTGTCGTAAAGACTCAAAAGGGCAGTAAGGGGTCATGTCAAGGGTTCCTTCCGGATGCACCCCAAACTTGGAGGTTTCAATTGGCTCCCCTTTGACAATTTGAAGCAAGCCAAGAAGGCTACCGAGCCTCGCAAAAAGCTGCGTCCTTATAATGGTTGTCTCACTTCCCAACTAACTCGTGGAGAACCATCCCCATCTATTTCAAGATAGTGATCAAATCCTGGCACTGACCCAAACCCATTCTTAAGAATCAAAAGTAGCTGTAGACCGGAATTTTGGAACCTGCGGTGGGACCGATGTGGATGAGAAAGTCGCCTTTCAACGCTGGCCCAACTGAAAGCTGGAAGCGTGGTCGGAGATATCAACCCAGGCGTCCAGTGGATGTCCAGGGGACAAAGTGACACCAAGTTTGCACCAGTGGCTCCAAGGTCTGCATTCGTAAGCACTGGCGTGCCACGCAAGCGTTAAAAAACAAAGGTACAAATGAAAGGTTGAATTGCGTTCACAATCATGAGTTCTGGGTTTGGTTGCCAGGTGCGAGTCCCTGTTTGTGCCCGCCACTGACATGAGGATTCTGCGAGTCAGTCGCCTTAAACCATCGCTCAATGGTGTCTCCAGTGTCCGAGAGCGTGGACAGCAGGCCATTCAGCTCCTCCTTGAAGGGGATCGAGTGTCGCTGCGCCTCGATCGAGCAAGGCACCAAAAACAGAGCAAAGAGAGACTTCGGAGTCGCCGTTTCTGGATACCCTGCATAAAAGATGTGTTGTTTGCTGCCAGTCTGCAGGTGCCGATCAGCAACCATGATGATCTAAATGCAGGATCGGCTCTCATGCTGAGAGTTGTAGATGAATGGGGGAACCAGAGCATCCTTTGCGGACAACAAGCTCTTCCGATCAGTCCATGCGGCGCAAACAACACCGCCACGCAGACACAATCAACAACTGCTGCACAAGTACCGCCAGGAAAGGTTTTGACTACTTCCCCACCCACCAACAAGGAGCCTGACAGAATGTCCCAGTCAGGAGGCCACACTTTCCGACCGGCCTCATTGCAAGTCTGACCGGTTCACCTGTGTGATCTCTGATTGTTGCTGATCCCCAGTCTGCTGTTGCTGGGCAACCGGACGTTCATGGTGTTCAGGTTCATCATCGTCTCCTCCAAGGCCTCCTGGGTTTCACCCACCTTTCCGCCTGGCCGCTGAAAAACTCGCAGGCTGACTGGCAGAAAAAGGCTGCCAGGTTGCAGCGACCCAAGAGTGACCGACCTCTCCCCCTTATAAATGCACCCTTGCAAGCACGCGCCAAAATACCCCTATTCTGAACCCATCCTAGCCGAGGTTGTGGGGGGGCCTTCCAGAACACCGTCTCTGAACCCTTACCCTGGCGGCTGATTCAGGACCAAACAAGGACTCCCCCGGCTCCCCTTGAGAGCTTCAGTGGAGTTTACAAGAACATCTTAGAGGCTCAACAGCTCAAGCCAATACGCTCGATCAGCTCTCAGATTCGCTCTCTCTTTCAAGGTGAGCAAAATTGGTGGCCGTGTCCATGCAAGCCCTGTCGAAATGTGTTGCCATAGTGGGCATGATGCATTTAGTGGTTTCCCTGATTTCATGTTTGTACTACATACTGTTTAGTGGCTCGTCTCCTGTGTCGGGTTTCCTGGCTACTTCTATATCGGTCTCACGTCGCACTTTTCTTTGGCGCCCTTGTACAACAATCAAAGTCGATGTGGGCCACGGACATGGCTCTGATTCAAATGGTACCCTGACAACGAAGATCGCCCCCCCCCCCCCACCAGATGGTGTTGCAACCTTGTTTCCTTGTGGCTTGACAATCAAGGGACTCCTTGAAGAAGGTTTCTTCTACACAAAGGGGCTCCGACGGACCCGACTTTAACTCCAGAATACCGTCCTCGTGGGACACACGGAAACGCCGAAATAACGGTAGTGAAGCCTTCCGATCCAAGGTCCTGATTGAACCTTTCTGGGTCATGCGGCCTTGATTTTGTCAAGGTTCCCTTCGGGTGGTCAACACGGGACCCGGTGGCGCCTGAGGAACTGCATGCCGCCTTTCAACGGAGACATCCAAATTTGACAACCCTCCAGCTGAGAGAGTTTCCCCTTTCAACACCCCAAAGGAAACTCACCTTAAACTGGCCCCCACATGTTCATGTTTGTTGAAATCACCAAGCCAAAACGGCACCCAGCTGAGGCAAATCGCCTGAGAGGACGCAAGGGTAGTCTCGGGATTTCCAGGTGCCGAAGTCAAACATCATGGCTTCCTGAGCCGATTCCGAGGCCGCGCACACGTAAGCGGCAACTCTCACGCGCGAATTTCTGGGGTGGGTTTAGAGTGGAACCGGGTGGGAGGGCTGGTGCAGGGTGGGTCTATTCGGGCTTGTTAGGGTGGGTTTGGGGTGCTTACCAGCACCAGCGCCGCCACCACCAGCATCCCCGTCCAAACTGTTTCAGACAAATAGGGAATACACATACGGAATGGGCTATGCATGCTACTTCCCCGGGAAAACAACCACCCGACCAGAGATTCGCGAGGACATGGTTGTGGAAAATAGATGCCCCTGTCTGTGATGCCAAAGCCGAGCATGACTAACTGCACTCACTCTAAAGGATTCCACAAGGGCCAGTCACAACAAGCAGCCTGCCCTAAGCACCGATCTCCCACAACTACACAAGAGGAGGCATGTCAAAACCGTGGGACCCATCCTGTATGTGTCCAGTCTAAAATAAGGGGAAGCGCTGCCGCAGTCTGACAACTGGTCAGGTCAGGGAATCTACCAACCCCTTAAACCAAGAAGGCCGTAGTTGGCCGTGTTTGGTCCAAAAAAGGCGTACTAGTCACTACTCCCTCAAAAGACTGGTATCACGGAAGTGGGTGGGTGTTTTTTGACGGCCGCCTTTTTAAGGTTCATTCGCAGGGAGACAGAAGGAAAACCACTATTCGTGTGCTCCCCTATTTCGACTCACAACCCCAAGTGGGGCTTAGGCACGTGAGGGACTGAGGACCAGGCCCATTGCGTGGAAATCTCCCTCAGCTTGCTCTCGATGATCTGGGCCGGAGGCTCCGGTGCGCTGAGCCCAAAGGGAAACTCATCACCTCTCCCCGTGCGTTCGCCCTCGGTGAGCTCATTTTTGTGTCTTTCCGAATGGCACGGGGAAGCCTCTTTTCCCACATCCATGCCAATCCCTACAAACCTTCTCCCCAGGGGTGGATTGTTCAAGTGACTGGCCACTCGAAAGTTGCCCATGGCCAAAATGGCCAGCTACTCCCTCTGCGTCTCTCTCAACTTGTTCCCCCTTCAAGCGGCCCCTAAGCCCATTTCACACCCGTCTGTGCTCATGCAGGCAAGGTAAACCTCATCTCTGGCGTCCATGGGCATGGTTGTGAAACCTTTCAGTCCCCAAAACTACCTTATCACTTCAGATGGTGGTTTTCCTTAGTATCACAGAAATGGTTATTTGCTGGCGCTCAGAAGGGAATAAGGGAATGACCCGTATAAACCATCCAACTGGTGGTTTCCTTTCAGGGAATGGACCGCAGCCTGGGTTCATTCCCACGTTCCCTACTTGACGCAACAGGAACGTAAGGTGTTTGCCAACCAACCAACCAACCAACCAACCAACCAACCAACCAACCAACCAACCAACCAACCAACCAACCAACCAACCAACCAACCAACCAACCAACCAACCAACCAACCAACCAACCAACCAACCAACCAACCAACCAACCAACCAACCAGGGGACCAGCCCTAGAAAAAGAAGAAGAAAAAAAAGGAGAAAAAAAAAAAAAAAAAAACAGCCCTAGGAAGAACAAAAACATCGGATCCAGGAAACTAAAGGGAAACCAACAGCAAGGCCACCCTTCGCAGGGAAGACGTCGTTTCGGCCCCCGGGCCAGCTGCTTGTCCGCGCCCTCGCAGATGTCCGCGATCTCGTCCGTGAATTCCTGGGCCGTGGGCTGGGGGATGTTTTCAACGGGGGGATCGGCGGTCCTTTGGTTTTTTCCTTCCTGTACTGGCCCAAAAACCTGGACATAAAAGGTTGACTAAAAATAGAGCATGCTTTCCCCTTGTTCCTTCACCTTTTGGAACCTTGACTAAAAATAGAGCAAAGCAGGGAAACCAAGAGGTTAAAAGGTTTCGGGCAAGTGAGTCCTTTGTTGCCTTCTTGCTGTTCATACCATCTCCTTTGCCCCCAAGGGAAATACGCCCAGTTGTTGGTTTGTGTTTCACCAGGAAACCAAGGAGCCGCTATGAACGAGGGGTACATATTGCCGCTCTTAGAAAATAGCTGCCGTCGCTTCCATAAATCTGAAAAAAATGGCTATATTCACACCTGGAATGGCAATCCCCAAGTAAGGAACCTCCATCGTCAAAACAAACGTCCCAAGCCAGAACTCTTTGTGAGGTCATGCCTCCTGATCTGTACACTGTACATGCTCATAAGTCATAGGATCAAACAAACCCACCTTTGACGCGAGTTCGCCGATCAACCGATTCCCCTTTTGAGGAAGGCAAGCTAGAAAACCCTTCCGTAAAAACAGATTTCTACACTCACTCTGGGCCGCTGATTTTTCTCCAAACGGGTTGGAGGGGGTTCCTTCCACCTGCCAACTCGCGGAACCGCCCAAACCCGCGGTGAATGTCGTCCAAGCGGCGTTCAGCTGCGCATCAATCAGCGACTGCAGCTTGAAATTCTCCGAGTCAATCGGCAGGTCCTTGCCTGGAGAAAGGCAGGTTCTAAGGATTTTGCAGGGATTTCGCCTGGCAAAAGCCATTTGAGGACATTCCCGGCTAAACTTGCACTATTTCGGGTAGCTTGAGAGAGAAATCCCAGTGTGAAATAGATACCTCCTGGATGCTTGAAGCAGGTGTTCATACAAAATGACATGCGTCCCCTGGATGCCTAGCTTGGAAGCTCAACATGCATCCGCAGCCCCCCACTGAGATCCAAATATGCTACACTGTGGTTTGTTGATCCCTTTATGTCATGCACGCCTCTAAACTCCAAACAAGTCTAAAGGTCTTTTGGTTGCTGGGAACTGCCAATCTGGCTCGTACTTGGAAGCCTGCCACCTCAATTGCTGGTTACCAAACCGCCCGCAACGCCAGGCAGATGTGGCTCCAGAAAAGGACAGCAAACACCTCTGGAATTTTGGGGGAAGAAAAAAACGCTGGCTGCCTCCTCACGTCCGAGTCGTCGGCGCTGGTCGCCGTTGCATCTCCCCATAGGGCAGCATAGGAAAACCACCAGGAACCTGTGGGGCCCTGGAACTCCCTAGAAATCTAGAATGACTCCTAGATCAAATCTGCCCATCTTCCCAAGGTGTGACAATCTTGTTGACGTCTGCCCATCTTCCCAAGGCGTGGGAAATACTCTTGTCGATGACTCCTGCGGTTTGGGCCACCTCTGAGCCTTCTCCCCCCCTTCCAAACGGACGTCGGCACCGGCCTGTGATGTCCATGACCTGCTGCCAATGCCGCGGCATGATGCTGGTCCTCGCTCCGAGTCCAAAACAAAAAACGCCGGGGCCCGACGAAAAGCGAAACATGCCCCAAGATAGGTCAAACTCCCGCGCTAGATAGAGAACACCCCGTAAAACCAGGGCATGTCCGAGCGCTGAAACGGGAATCACTTTGCAAATGCATCCGGAGGCTTTGTTCATCCGTCTGAGAACCAACGAGACGAGGGATAGGCAAGTAAACGAAAGCAAAACAGACAGGAGAGGAAAGAACCACAAGTTGTCTACTTGCAAGCAGCACTGCAAGGATGTTTCAAACAACCACGAGGGGGGTGCCCGTGTTGACACATGCCCATGTCCAATGTGTTTCTGCTTACCAAATTCATTCGCTGAACCACAAAAGGGCGGCCGCGCATACTTATGGCTGGGCCAATCCCTAGCCACAAAAGGGTGGCCGCGCCTATTTATGGCTGGGCCTGTCCCTAACCTTTGATTCTCCGGGGTTTATTGGGTGCGTGTCTTTTTGAGGGCACCCTTTTCAAGCCCTTTTTGGGTTGGTCTAAAGGGCAACCAAGAGGAAAACACCCATTTTGGGGGTCCCCCTAATTTGTCACATACCTATTGAAGCTCTTCTGATCCCTTCTGGCATGCGCAAGACGCTCATTCAACACCTGCCAACGTTGGGTCCAGCAAGCATCCAGCACTGAAACCGATGAACATCGGAGCGCGTTCCATCACTGGACGTTTCTCCCCATGAAGGAGTCCCTGGCTAAGGAAGCTGGTCAACCTCCCAAATGCGGCTACTTACCCTCGGAACCTGACACGGGGGTCCTCGAAGACCATCTTCCTTTTGAAGTGACCCCTTGTTTTTGCTCACGCCGCCATTAGCGGCGCGGCCGCAAACAGCTCATGGGGTGGGGTGGGGGGGGTTTCTTCGTTCCTTTCAGCTGTGCAGTTTGTTGGGGGCAACCATTTCAATGCTTTAGACTCAAAGCTGCCAGTTCTTCCAGTTGTGTTCTCGCTTGGGCTTTCTGTGATCTTGTGCATGGACTTGAGACGTTGGATCTTGACATTTGCACACATGCCGCAGATGGCGGGCATCTCCCAAGAAACGCAGTGCCTACTGGCATGCGTAAGCTTGCCACCACTCCTAGCATGCTGGCAGCAAGAGCCTGTGGAAACCGTGGATGCTCTGCATGAGCTTTTCAGTGCTTCTTCTCGAAATGATGCTGTCTCATCCATAGTGCGGGCTGCCGCGCAGGCGCAGCATGACTTCCAAAGTCTGAAGGCGCTGTCTGCTTGATGCTTGGCTTCGCTATGCGCGCACTCGATCCACTCTGCCTGCGCACACTCAGGCCGCCTTAGTTGTCTCTTGGTGTCGGTCTCAGCGACCGCTGACAACAGGCCAGTGTGAACCACAGCTTGCTGGAGTTCTGCCGCGCGGCGCCTCTGCCTGAGAAACCTGATGAATATGTGGCAGCGGGGACGCCATGTATCGACCAAAGCTGGCAGGACATGAAAAAGCAAATTCCTTCTGAGATAGCGGCGAAAGACCCTACGAGTAAGCTCATTAATGGAAACTTGTGCACGTGGATCTACTCTTGGCAGCGGCGACGAAACTGTTGAGGGGACTTATGGGCTGCAATGCCAGCCTTGTTTCACAGCTGAGGACACAACTGATAGAGCAAAAAAGGGCTCCGTTCCGCTGTGCGAAACGGCCAGCGCCGCTAATGGCGGCGTGACCTTGTTTTTGGCTCCATGTTTGGTGGGAGGGTACCATGCGACTCACCTGGCTAGGCTTCCCCGCTTTCCCAGCTCCAGCAGCAAGGGCAGCACACCCTGGAAGTCCTGTCGCAGTCGGAGTCGTTCGATCCGGCTGGCCCAGTCGTTGACTGAAGGCGGTGAGGTACATGCGGCAATTGATGTAGCCCGCCGAAGCTCAGATAACCAGGTCGAAAAAAAGGTGGCCAAGAGACCGTCCAAAGTCTGTTGCTACTGGAAAAGAAGGAGAAGGACAAGGGTCACAAATGGGAAAACAGCGGCGAAACGAAAAAGCCGGGGTCGCTGACAAGTTCCCGATGCGCACAAATGCATGTCCCACCTTTCAGGCACTGCCTATGTGCGCCTGACGGAATTCGGTCCCTCCTGGCGTTGTCAATCAGAAATTGCCCTTCTTCGGCTGGGCAACACTTTCCATCAAGGGCAGTGTTCCGTGCGGCTTGCTCCTAACATGGATATCTCGCTCGCAAGCTCTCGGAGATCCGCCTCGATCTCCTTCTTCAGCTCGTTGTAGGCAGGCCACTCCCGCAGCTGCTTCGGCATCTTCTTGCAGCGCGCTGCAAAGCTATCGATCCTTGGGGAATCGGAAGAACTCAAGCGAAGCAGAGCCGCGGCGAGCCCATGGCAGATTTGTGTTGAGGGTATGTGTTTGAGGGTAACCAAAACAAAACATTCTTGGGGATGGGCATCCTTGCGATTCGTTCGAGGTTGTTTCAAAGGAAACCAGAGGGAAAAGCACCATCTTAAAGCTCTCCCGTGTTGAGACACACCCAAATCACCTGCGCTCCTGCAGCTGAATGCACAAAATGAAATCCCTGGGTGCACTCCCTGTCGAGGTTCCAAAAGAGCCCCGATTTGCGACGAGCCCCCCATCTTGCCTCACATGTTCACATGAAGGGAGGGGTCTTGCCGTACACTGCCCATTCAGCCTGTTCAGGGGATGGCTCTTAGAGCGGATGTGTTGTTCATTTGAGTTACAACCTGGCGTTGAAGCTCTGGGGAGGTCAACAAGTCGTACAAACGAAGCCGCATTGAAATGGACGAGGATTCCTTCCGAAGTCCAAGCGTGTTCAACTCCACAGAGAATGGGTTCTTGCAAATGTTGGATTCCCATCCTAATCCGGAATCTGTAGCCGCGCAGTGCAACAACGGAAACCACCACCATCTGGCATAAGGGTTAAGCATTGATTTTGAACAACCCAGACGGATACAGCCAAGCAAGAGGCCGCCGGAAGGGCCGAGCAGCGTCTTCTGCATCGTCTCCATGTTCTCTCCAACATCGCACCAAAGGTAGTCCCGCCACTCCTGCACGCGTAAAGTGACTCCCATCATCCACGCCACTTGGTCAATAAACACAAGTAAGAAGAGGAGATATCATGAAAGGAAGCTACCCCCTGGAAAACTAAAATCGGAGGCAAAGGAGGTCCAGAAAAAAAGGAGATACATCCGCTTGTTTTTGGTTTAAAGGGGAACCAAAATGAAACCAAGCAATTCTAAGGGCTCTGTTTTTGAGGAAAACTGTTTTTTGTTTGAATCTAAAGCCCCTTGTTTATTCAAAGAGAACTCAGAACGAAACCACCCATTTTGCGAGGTCTCCTCTTTCGAGGCAAACCCATTTGTCGTACCCTTCAACGGATTGATAGCTTACACGATACGCGCCTCTCGGCGCCGTGGAAGAAGAGAGAGCCAGCCAAGAAAAAACACGCGAGCTGAAAGGAAACAGCCGTACTCTGGAAGGTTCAAGGGTGAGACCTGCCTTGGCGCATCCGAGAATATCCGAGAGCCAAGTCTGAAAGCGAAAGGGGCGAAACCACGCGCTTCAAATCAGAACTCCCTCGCCTTGATCGTCTCCAAGACGGCCACGTACAAGTCCTTACCATCCGGAGGCGCCAGCGGTTCCAATGGCCCCCAGTAGCTCCAGTACCCTTTGTCTCCAAAAAAGAAGCAAAGAAGGGGTCGCAAAAGAGACAAAACCCAGGCCGGGGGGCATGTCCTCTGTGCAAAGCCCTACAAATCTGCTCTTGCCAACGCAGCGACAGCTCAACGCACGACAATGCTGCCAGTGGCTGCCAAACAATAAGTGTTGACCCACAAAACTCGTGAACACACAGAATGACTGAAACTGCACTCAGAAAGTGGACAGATTGATTGGTTCCCTGCAGGAATGCAACCAACAACAGCAGAGCCCACAAAACATGTCGAAACAAAGTTGTTTTTCTCTGACCAACATGATGTGCTGTTTTCTCGCGGTGAACCTCCCCTGCCAACAACCAAGACGGCCCAGGGAAAGACTGAGACTCACCAAAAGGATATGGGTGTGTCGTTCTTGGATGTGCACCCTGCTTGGGGGCCTACTTAAAAGGAAAACCGAGGAAAACTGCCAGCTGGGGGTGGTTCCCCAATTTTTGAGACAAAACCCATATCATTGGGAGACTCCTTGGTTTGCCGGGCTAGATATGTTCTCCACCCAGGGCAAAAATAAAAACCTTGGCCCAAAAAAAAAAAGAAGAGCTGCAGTCCAGCGGCGTAAAGCTGGGAGAGGTATCCCAGCTCTTGCCTGGTGGTGTCCAGGGCCGGATACCTTTGATGCGGCACACCGAAGAGGTCCTCGCCGATGTAGTAGATCTCCTGGGGAGCTAGTCTGGGCTGAGTCGTTGGGATTCACAAACCTGGGGAACGGGGTGAAGAATCGAAAGGGCGGAAACGTGCCGCAGCTATTGGCAGGGAACTGCTAAGCTGACCTTCTTGCGGCAGCTTGCTGCGGGTCATGGTCAATATCTATTGCACATCTGGTTGGGCTTTGGTCAGGAAACCCCACCTAATGGAACTTGGGTAAGTGTACCCAATGTCAACCCAATTGCTAAAAGTAGATCACGGTGAATACAGGGCATTGCTCATGACATTGTTGAACATGCTTCAGGAGGCCGGAGTGTTGATCAAAAGAGAAGGTCCCAATTCCGGAACTACAGGAGGCCCTGTATTTGGGCCCCAAGTCCAGAAAGAAAGTTATGAACAACCCTCCGCCAGCTTCCCTTTCCCTGTCCCTGTTGAAACGCTTTGCTTTCGTTTCCCTTCAGTTTTATCCTTCTGAAACAAAACATCACCCAAACAGAAGGAAGATCACCCAACGGAAAAAAGATCACGCTATCAACCAACCAGAGCCGACCCAAAAAGCCACCTGTGCCTTGGGGGCCTTGGGGCCCAAGGCCCCCTTGGGGCCCCAAGGCCCCAAGCCCCGGCCTGCTTGCGGTCTCGAACCTCGAACTCCTCCTTGAATCCTCAGCTTTCTGGTCGTTGGCAAACAGCTGCGGCTACAAAACGTGGTCAATAATCCCAGTGTTTGGCTGCGGAAGATGCTTTTGGCGGGGCAAGATCCGTGGAATCCATTGGATACAAAGGATGCAAACTGAAACCAGTTTCGTTCCATCTATATTCAAACAAACTGATTCCAAAAGAACTAGTTTTAACCGCTTTGCTTCCGCGGATTATTGCAGCAATCTATCCTGGACTTGTGGTTCTACCAACATGGTTAAGAAGGTCTACAAGGGCCCTGGCGGGTTCCGCCCTCTTTGGCCAGGAGTTTTTCATAGGGAGCTTCCGCAAAAACGGATACAGAACCTCCATCTGCGGTTGTTCTCAAAACGCGGAACACCGCTCCGACTCGCCGAGGTGCGCTTCAGGCGCTCCACGGCCTCCCGGGGCGGGATGCCCTTCACCATGGGCCCGCTGCGCTCGTACTCCGCGCGGAAACGCGCCACGTCCTGGCGTGCAGCGGTGAGCGGCTTAGACCAGCGGTGAGCGGTTGGCGTTTCTCAGCCCCGTGTGGAGATCCAAGAGGGAACGAAATCCGGCTGGTGGCTGGTGGTGGTCCGGGCAAAACAAGAACCCAAAGTCACAGATCGCAGGGTCCACTATCCCCCCTTGAACATCGCTCTACAAGGAAGGCTCGAAATGGCAGCCAAACAGTGATGCTCGAGACGAAAGGAATGTAGAAGGACCCCTAGGTTACCAGCAATCCAGTTGGGGGATACACGTCCATCACGGACTGAGTAAAAAAAGAACGTTGCCCACTCTGCCATAGCTCTTAGCTGGTTTGTCAGCAGTGCCGCTTTTGTTGCAGTCCTTCTTGAAGGAGTTCACTGTCTTGATCAGATCCTTCTTGTACTGAATCCTCGGCACATGCGCGGCTCAAGTCAAAAAGGCACGCGACGCCGTGCGACAAAATGAGCCGCATGTGTCCAACTGCTCGTGAAGGGCTGGAACTCGGGTTACTATGTGCTTCGGGTTGATGATTCCTGCGGCTCACGTGTGACGCCTGTCCTCTACACCTGGTCTCAGCAGGTCTGCTCACATGCAGCGAGCAGACGGCGAGTGAGCAGCGCCCAAAACACATTGACTCTTGGTTTTGCGAACATGATTGCATAAGCAGTATTATAACCCCAGTTCAACAAGGCAACACCTTCTAAAAAATAGCCAATGGACTTTGAGCGCTGCTCAAGTGGGGAGCAAGGGATTCCTGCCCTTCTCAAAGTTGTTGGTCGGCATACCTGCATCGGGCTGAGCTTTTATATCCCAACAAGTCGGAGCGAAACCCACTAAAGCAAGTCCAAGGCCACCAAACTTCCTTTGTAACAGAATTTCCCGTTAAACTTCTCCAAGTAATTCTTGTTGGGCCTGACCTGCAGGCTAGCTTACTTGCAGTTCTATACCAAACATCCGAAGTGCCGAAATGCCTTGCCCCGTAGCAATCGCAATCTGTTCGCGGTGAGAGCTTCAGCACTCAGAGGTAGAAAATGACCACATTGGCTTGGCAAGTTTCACATACATTGGACCCTGCTACCTACTCACAGTGGCTGTTAGGATCAACCAACTCCGAATTGAGCTTTCTAAACGGGGGGGGGGGGGGGGCGGCAGTGTGGGTGGGAAAAAGAAGGGCCCAATCCATACAGAATCACCTTTCCTGCCAAAGGATGGTCCTTTTGCCACCTTGTTTGGGGCCAGTCAGGCATCCAAAAGGAAATCTACCATACATCTTGCAGACTTTGCAATTCTCTGAAAAGGACCTGTGGCTGTTGCCAAAAACTGCGGGCCCACAAAGCCCAAATTTCACCAAGGCGCTGCTTGTTTGAGAGCTCATGCTGCCTGGCTTCGCTCTCCTCCAGCAAGTCCTCACGAACAGCCGCAGGAGACTTCGAGGGTCGCGTTTGGGCTTGGAAATGCACCCCATTGAACATCATATGAGCAGCGCCCAAAACCAATCGACTCTTGTGGTTAAAAAAGGAAAAGGTTGAAAAGGCCAGAAGTGGGCGCTGCTCACATGCGGGAAATGGATCTACGGTGCAAGTCCTCCGGGTGTCGAAAACATAGGACTCCACTGGACTGCTTGCTTGCATCTACGTTCCCAGACCAAACTACAAAGGGCAGCCGTGTGCAGGGATGCCTTTGAGATGTTGAGGATGTCGGCACAAACCCTTCAAGCAAACTGGCTCAGTGTCCGTCAGCATGATTAGCATCATCCCTTTGAAAAGCCCTCGGATCATGCGTGATCAGGTACGTACCCATCTTCAAAGCAACCCTGCAAAGATTGGCCAGATGTCGACCCAACCCTGTTGTATATATATATATGTATGTATGTATATATGTATATATACATATATATATGTATGTATGTATGTATGTATGTATGTATGTATGTATGTATGTATGTATGTATGTATGTATGTATGTATGTATGTATGTATGTATGTATGTATGTATGTATGTATGTATGTATGTATGTATGTATGTATGTATGTATGTATGTATGTATGTATGTATGTATGTATGTATGTATGTATGTATGTATGTATGTATGTATGTATGTATGTATGTATGTATGTATGTATGTATGTATGTATGTATGTATGTATGTATGTATGTATGTATGTATGTATGTCTGTCTGTCTGTCTGTCTGTATGTATGTATGTATGTATGTATGTATGTATGTATGTATGTATGTATGTATGTATGTATGTATGTATGTCTTGCATGCCAAGTTGATTGATTGCTGAGGTGTCCGTTTTAGAGGGGGGATACTTTTTGCGGAGGTGCAAATCCGCCGGATTGATTCATCCCAGATTGGATGAGCAAAGCCCTGTCCTTCCAGTTCTTCTTGAGCATGGAGCGCGTGTCTTGCTCTTCCTGCGGAACCAGAGGAGGAGATAGAGGAAGACGGGGATGAGAGAACACGTGAGAGAGAGAGAGAGAGAGCGAGCACACAATTGTCAAACAAAAAGAGTATGGTGTGTTTCACTGGGCACGGCCAAGGAGGAAAGGCATAAACAGAGAGGCAGAGACCAATCAAGGAAGCGATAGAGAGAGAGAGAGAGAAAGCGACGACTAAGTCGACGAGTGTGTGACGTCATTCCTCGCAGAGAACTTGACATGTATTGCCAAAAGCTGGCAGCATTGCCACGCACATCTGCTTTTGCCGTGACACGAAGAATGCCGCCTGAAGAACCAGGTGTCCAAAAAAGGTACCGTACTTTGTCAGCTTGACACAAAAGACAGGGGCGCCTTGTCCATGATGTTGGGCAAGTGCTCGTCCAGGATTCGATACATGTGCTCAATGGGGATAAAATCCAGCTCAATCTCGCTCTGCTTGGCATAGACTTCCTGCGCGAAAGCAGTTTGTTTGTGCTCACCGCATGGGTCAGCACGCAGGGAGGAGAACTACAGCGCCCCACCCCAGGATCCTTCTGATTGAAGGGTCCGGGGTAGGAATTCGGGTGAAAGAAAGGGTCGCGAGCGTGTTATGGAGCCTTGGTTGGAAAGCTTGTTCAGGTAACAAGGGGATCTGCGCTTGCCACTCGCCCTGCTGCATGCAATGCAGCTATGCACTTCAACGTCACCAGCAGCAACGTTACTGCGCTGGGTGCCATCACACTGGCGGGGTTTCCAAGTCGAGGCCTGAATGGAGGAATCCCTCACGAGCCCTGGCTGTGATGTGTGAGACAACACATCCATGGGGTTGGTGTCTTGGTGCCTTTCAAGATGAGCCTTACAGGGTCAAACTACTGGAAAAACCGCTGGATGAAACAACCCCTGCTTGGAAACTAGGAGTGTTCCATTTAACGGGAAATTCAGAGTGCGCTTTGGGGAGAGTCTCCCCTCTCTCGGATCAATCCGCCGGGTACAGCTCAAATCCGAGGTCGACATTGATGGAAAACCAAATAGACGCACGAACCGGCTTCATGCAAGTGATGCAAACCATGCCTGGCCCAGACTTAAACCCCAAAAGGGAACGCAGGGGAAAATGGAGGAAAAAAGGGTAAAAGTCAAGAAGGTAATCTACTCTTTCACACGTGACTGGAGGCCCCTGGAAGTTCGCCATGTTAGCAGAGAAGGAGAGTCTGGCGATTTTAGGGCCACGCAAAACAAACGCCTGCAGGGTCTGCATCACGTAGGCCAAGGCGTCGATGTCACCGGAGCCCACCTGAGCAAAAGATTTGATATGCCTAAAAAGCGTTAAAAAAACGGATACCCCTTTCTGGGGTTGGTTGTTTGGAAAGGAAAAATCCCAAATTTAACACACTCCCAAAGAAGTACTAGTAGCTTACTCACTAGTATTTTGGTTTTAAACTACCCCAGAGCCCGATTCAGAGCCCGATTCCAACTTGACTACAGTCCTCTCGAAAGGCCCGGAGGCCCCATGAGAGACCTCAAAACAGGAGTCCGCCGAATTCCCTTTAGTGATTCAGTTTCCTGAGAAACAGCCCAAAGGGGAGTTCCCTTTAAAAAAAATACAGACAAACCGTTGGTGCAAACTGATGAGCGAGTCATCAGACCCTTCAGCACGGTGAGGCGTGGGCAAAAGATGTGGTTGCCGTACAGAGCGTGAAACAAGTAGGGTTCATCCCTGTTCTTTCAAGGCAACGCAGTGGCTCTTACACCATGCCTCATGCCCGAAGCAGCCTGAATCCGGATCCCTTGTGACGTGTGGGGCAGGGTTGATTCGTCCGGGGTTGACGTTAACAGGGAGAACCCGGGAGAAATGATCGATCGAGGGGTGTGCGACTTGACAGGCCTTGCTTTACTTTGGGGGAAGGTATTGGTTGGTGCGCTCTTGGCTTCCCCTCCAAAACCAAACAGTAATCCCCCAGCACACACACACACACACACTTGATTTGTTCACACACACACACGCACACGCACACGCACATTCACACGCACATTTAAATCGAGAGTCGACAAGTGCCCCCCTCCGCCCGCCTCTCGGAGCAGCTTTTTGCGGGTGGACTTGACCTGGGAGTCCAAAAATCTGTATCCATCGGCGTCCCGGCCATTGGTCGCACCCGAGCGTTTCTGAAAAGTGGGTCCCGATCCCTCCAGGTCCTTGGTTTGTCCTTTTGGGTTCCCTTTGAAGCCATCCAAACAGGGATTCCCCATCAGACAGACCCAGTTGCACCATTTGCTCGTCCCACCTCACCCCCTCGAAAAGTGAAAGCCCGACTCCGGAGCCACACCCATGGTGCATGCGAATATGTTCATCGGAAACGGACCTCTTGGACACGGACATGCCACCCCGTTTCACGGGTCTTCCCCATAAAAAAAGATCACAGCCACACTGACATGGGTGTGGCCAAGAAACACAAAATTCCCAAGACGAAAAGGGCCCTTCAGGTTTTTCCCGGTAAAACCGTCCAAAACACCGGCACCCAGGTTTGGAAACCCTCAAACGTAGGATTCAATGTTTGAGAAAATGGGCCTATGGTTTGGCGATGCCTTTTGGCCATCCAGAAAAATGGTCTTCGTCCAAATAAACAACCATCCGAAACAGAATATTCCCCAGGCAATCTCAAGAGCATGCTGAGTTGTTTTTTTGGAGGTGAGGTCATTTTCCAGTTGCGTTATATGACTCAGCGGTTCATTGATCCCTTGCTAAGAGCCAAACGTTTCGTGGGACATGTCATGCTCCAACGATCCCAGAGTCTAGGGCTATGGCTGGGAACCGCAGGTGTTTCTCCCCTCCACACCTCCCTCAATGCCCTGGAACGGCCTTTGAAAAAACAGGGCTGGAAGCCGTGGCCGGAAGTCCCCAAGATCTCTGGGGTTGGTTTCCGATTCATTGGTTTGCCATTACAACCCAAAGAGGGCAGCCTCAAAAAAGACACTGCCATACGGGTATTGCTGGTCAACAGTCAGTTTCCAAAGTGAAATGGTTATTGGTCAAACTAGCCGCAAAGAAAAGGATAACAATATGTGCCATGGTGCAAGCCCGGCCACTTGGGAGAGGTCATTGTTGTCCTTCATGGGCAAGAAAGATTACAACAGTCGTCTAACTCCCCTTGTTGAGGGATCCGTCCATCCATGGCAACCCTATGTAAGTCTGTCTGACCAAGGCACATAGCATGATCAGCATGACCTGTAAAAGTCGGTTCGGGCATCTCCACATGTCTCGTGACTCAGGTTGCTTTACGTCCAACAGGATGCCCGACGACCTTGCATTTAACACCTCTCGCATGTCGCTGAAAAACTGAAAATCGTAGGCAAACAACGAAACAAGTTACAGAAATAAGCATGGCAAAGCTTGGACATGAAATCATGTTCATTCAAAAAAGTAGGGCCAATGCTAACACAAATGAGAGAAGAAAAAATGACGACAAAAACAAAAGCGAAAAAACAACTGCTGGTGGCGCGCTTTGCCCTTTCTTTCACCCTTTCGCCCAGCTCGCCGGGGCGCCATCTCGCTGACCGCCTCAAGCTTGGCAAAGGCATCCTTGTGCAGCTCCTCCGTGGAGTCCGTGAGGCCGTGAGGGGAGGTATACCCGAATCGCTGGAACAAAAGCCCCCCAAAAAGATCGATTGAAGACAAAAACAAGCAAAGTACCAACAAAGGCCCTTTCGGACTGGTGTTCAAGGGCAACCAAGAAGGAAACTCACCATTTGTTATGGTACCCCTATTTCAAGACACACCCGTGTGGCACAAATCCCTCTACGCACCAAAAATCCAAAAGTCTATGGGTATGGAACCGCCAAGTTGCCCACAGCCGGGATGAGTCCTCTTTCCGTGGGGTTGAGTCTCTTTCCGCGAGTAGGTTTACAGCGACTTACCTTCCCAGAAGCAAGCATGGAACCAAGGGGCTCCTTGATTTGCACCATTTAGCAAGGACCCTCTTTTGGGGAAGGCGGGGAATCGGATTCCCCAAGACTAAAAGCAAAATGGCGAAGGGTTGCCTACAGTGGCCGAGATCCACTGATTCCCACGTACCATTTCACATTCGGCCATGGGTCAAAATCCCGCACCCCCAGTGAACATCCCAATCCAACCACTAACATAGGTCCTCAAATGGGTGGTGAATTCACCAATCCCAACCAAAATGGGATCCCAAAAAACGGTCCAGTGACCACCGCCAATTCCACGCTGCGTCCCCTTCCGCTTCCGCTTCCAATCGCTTCCGCATATCCCGCCTTGGCGAAGCAGGACTTCCACTTCTCCGCGCGCGCCTTCAGATCCTGGGCCAAGCTGCCGGTCTTCAGCATCAGCGCGGAGATCCTCCGGCGAGCTGCCCGGCGGAAGCGGAAGCGGGGGGGAAGGGGGGGGGGGGCGGCTCCCACCTCTTCTTTTTTTTGAGGGGGGTGGGGTTTAGAGGAAACCTACCATTTTTTGTGGCTCTGGTTTAATTTGGCTGGTTGGGGCCCTGGCGTAGATTCGAAAGGAAAGCACCGATTTGCCGATCCACGTTTGGGGTGGGTACCGGGAAAGCACCCAAGGTGGGAACAAGTCAAAATAAGCAAACAAGAGCCCCCTAAAATTGCTAGTGCCCTTTTGGGTGCCCTTCAAATACTGCGGAGCAAAGCCAGACAACACACCACGCAGCACAATGGCAGCACTTGCTTGCCTCACCCTGTTGTTGGTCTCTTATCTCAAAAGTTGAGGAGCAAGATTGCTGGCACAAACGGGGGATGGGTGGCTCAGTAGGGGGTGCCATCAACAGAACCGTCCCTCAACTCGCTCATCCCTCAACCACAATGAAAAGGAAGCACATTAACTTACTGGGTTGGTTCCTTCCAAACATGTTAGTCCCCCCTGTTAGTCGCCACTCTCATTCTAAAATTGGAAATAAGGGAACCCGTGAGTGAGGAACCTTCATCAAGGACTTTCGCTATACGCTCGTTCTAATTTGCAACGACCTACAGAGTACATCAAATCCAAAAACCATCTGCTAGTACAAGAGATCCTCGCAATCAGCTGTTGTGGAGAAGACCCCAGTGTTGCTCTTCCAATATGGGCATGTCTTTGTTTCAGGGTACCCCTTCTTTTGCGGCGTTCAAGGGAAACCCAAAGGGAAAACGGTCCCCCCAAAGAAAAAAAAAAAACCAGCCATCTAGCCACAGAAACCTGGAGGGCACCCCACCCGATCCCCAAACCACCCCGATGCTTGGGCGGAGGGGCTGATGTTGGCCGGTGAGCTGCTCCACCTTGTTCTCCATGGCCACAAACTCCTTGAGCTTCGACCTCAGGCGGGGGCTGGGCGGGGGCTGGGCGGGGGTTTGTTCGGGGGCTGTAGGGCTGAGGGGGGGAGGACCGAAATACCAATTTGGGGGAGGAACAAAAGGAAACTTTGCAAAAAACCGACTGCGGAGGGCGTGATCAGATACGGAAACACTCACTCCAACAGCAATCCAGGGATGCTGGTCCGACCTTCCACGATAAACCCGAACTCTCTACACATTGGTCCATGCTGGCCAGTCCAGGTGTCCTGCAGGGAGAATTGATGGGCGCCACTGGTAATTGAAAGACACCAAACTAAAACCACTCGAATACATCCATGTCCAGCCGCACTGAACTAAACTGGACACCTATGATCAGGGACGATCCGAAGATGGCTGGCAGAGGTTTGGTTCCTGCAGCCCCTGTTTACTAGTGTTCGTTCGGGAATGCCCAGAGAGGCCACCCTGCCCCTTGATTTCATCCAAAGCCGTGGAGGGATCCATTTCAGCAGTCTGTTCAACCAAGCCAAGGCAGATCTGCCGAGATCCGTGGATCTCCATGGCCCAAAAAAAAGGCGCCCGTTTTGGGCGGTTGGGCCATATGCTGGGCAAGCCGCTCAAAGTCGTCGAGGCTGGGTTCGGTTTTCTTGAACTCCTCGTACTTCCTCGTTGACGACACACGAAAGACTCGGAAACGCAGCGCATTTCCATGAGGAGGTTTCTAGTGGTCGATCGCAAGTTCAACTTGTGTCATGTCATGAGGCCCGGTAAACTGTAAACGTCTACAAGTCTTTGGGTTTGACTGGGAAGCGCCAAAGGGCTCCTGTACTTCCCAGCCTGAAATCCCATGCCTGAGAAGGCAGTTGGCCCATGGCGCTTGCGTTTGAAAGGCCTTCCTCTTCGCGGCTGGGCAAACTTTCACCGAAACGCTTCCTATGTACGACTTGGCCGCCAAAAAACAGGCACTCCTTCGGCGTCCCTTTTGAACCCTGGAAAAGGTTGCCGAATCCACTTTCGGGACGCTCTGACCCGCTAAGACTTCCTACGATACTCCATGGTGAGCCACGTAGAGCTCACACTCATTTCGGTGGGCGAATTTAAATGGCCTGATTATCCCCTACATAGACGCACACACAACTTGTTTGGGTTGCTTTCGACTCAAGCGAGACTTTGACCAAACCTCGAAGAGTGCACCTTAATCCCGATTACTCTCACCAAAACTGTCTCGCCTTAAGGACCCGAAAACGAAAAAAGATCACCTTTTGAGAGCTTTACTCAAACTGGACCAAAGCAAAACCAGAAGGTCAAATCGTCGATAAGTGAAGCATAGAAGTGATATACCTGGTTCCCACCATGCCTAGGCAGCACGCCCGAAAGGCTTTCAGGCGGCCAAGGATCTTGTCAATGTCCTCCTTCCAGGTCCACTCGTACTCGCTGAAGGTGGTCAGATAGCTGTTGCACATGTTCTTGGCCGACTGGATGCTGCCGGTCAGCAACAACACCACCTGCCGGAGAAATCCAGACCACATCAACCTCAAGCAAACAAAGAGTTGGGCGGGAACCTCAACCGCCCATATGTCAGATGCAGGTCCCCTTCAATAATCAGTCCACTCGAAAATAATCACCCAGAAAGAGAAATAGAAGGAACCCTGAGATGGGCAGGAATCTACTTATAAAGCACACGAGCCAGATTTCCTGCAGATGTTCCTGCGGCTGTAGGCATACTGAAGACAAACAGCCAAGCTTAATTGCTGCAACCTGAGCCGATGGGATTGCCGAACTAGCCTGAAACACTCCAAATGGATGCATTTCAAGTCACTTTGAGGCAAATGATGGCATCAGTCAGCAGTGCTGAAAATCCCATTGACAGTTGGTTCTACCCAAATTGTTGAGCAAGTGAATTTCCGATTCATCCCTGGCCCTTATCTAGGGAGGCAAAGCTCTCAAGAAAACGCTACACAGCATGGCCTTGGCACTTTCAGGTTGTTGAGGTTAGGGATATATATATATATATACATATTGCATGTTCCCCCCCCTGTGGATGCGGGGTTGCTTGAGTGTGAGTTTCTTGGCCATTGGACGAATGCTGCCTCTTCAGTCGCTGCTTGAATGCTGTCAGAGCACCTTAATGGCACAACATCTCACTCGCAACAGGCAACGAGGTCATTCGGGAGATGAACCGGCGTCACAACAAGTCTGCCACATTTCATACGTTTGCCAAGTACGCCATGAGCAGAGGCTGCAGAAACCAGCTTACTTCCGAAACATGGCAAGCGCAAGCAGCAGCATGGTTCAGCCCGCTGGCCTGGCAACGAAGGCGCAGCAACTCGTAATTTGGCAAAAAAGAGCTGCAAGCCCCTGCCGCCCCTCCCTCCTGGATGACCTGGATGATATGGGGGGAGGTTTGGGGGGAAGGGTACCGGGCCCTGGACCGGGATGATGCATATATATATATATGCCAGTACCCACCTTTTTGCTGGCATTCCAAAATATGCCTGCATGTCATCCCTGTGTTCTGCATGTGCAACCCAAAAAAGGACCAGAAATGCGGAAAAACATGTATGCAATTCCTGTCGAAGTCAACCAGTAGTCAAGTCTTGGGTCATGTCTCATGGGGTCAAACAATCGGCTACAAGACTCTTCACATAAACCCCATCATCTAAATCCTGAGATTGGATCCAAGATACTACGCAGCAACTTGTCAAGGACTTGTCAGAGAAATCTTGGACCCAGACCCTACAACTGCTAAATCTAAATCCTGGATTTAGATTCCTTTCGGCATTGTTTCACCAAAATTAGCTAGACATGCGCAAAAAAAGCATGCCATCTGCCGCTTCAGAAAGGTGCCCCGGTAAAATTGACGGACATGCCTCAAAGCATGGCCCATTCCAAGTCCAAAGTTTGAAATGGACATCCCCGGCTTCTCCGCCCCCTCCAGTCACACGGACGCGAAAGGCGAGTGCTGACGGCCCCATCGCCTTCAAGATCTCCCTGTCCTGCAGGCTTGGGCCAACTCTCTGAGCGCACTAGATGTCACCAGGGTGCCAAAAAGCACCACTGGTGGCAACCTGACACATGTTGAAGCCATCCTTCTAGTAACTCCCCCAAAGCCGCAAGGGCACAATTCTGCAGGTTTGGCCGTTCACACCCACATACTGTTCTCCTTTTTCGGGGGAGAGAGGGGGGGCAGACCTGCTTGTGGTTGACCCCAAGGCAACCTCTCAGTTGGGTCCGTGTCCTTGTCGATCTTTTGGGCCCTGTGCCATTATCTTGGTCCCTTGATGCTGAAACGCGCTTGCATCTTCCACGTTGTTGTTTTCAGCAGTTACCATGGACTTGAATTTGGCCTTGGGAAAAGATATGCTGGACAAGGCGTCATTGCTGCTGCGCATCAAGTCTGAACACCATGTCAATGATGCTTTGCGTTTACTCTGGCCTGTGTTTGTTCTTCATGTTCTGACGTCCTCTTGGTCGAGCCAGGACTTCTCTTTGCTCTACACCTCACATGACCGTGAAGTGCTTGGCATGCCCCCCCCACTTTCAAACAGCCAAGTTGACCATGAGAAACAGTCCGACAAGTTGGTTTTTCATGGCCTTCGGAGAAAATAAAAGTGTCCTGACCACGGAACTCTTCCCAGGGTCCCAGAAAGGCGCAACCAGACAAAGAGAAAAGAAAAAAAGAAAATCGCTTTCAGGTCCCCTTCGGCAAGGGCTTTTTGGGTTTCCCCTTATCAAACAAAAGGCCCCGTTTGCCCATGTTGAGAAACGCGGGTCCAGGAACCACGACGCTTGGACCCTCCTGGGCGATGCGGTCGTAGAAGGTGCCCTGGGACCCGGTGCCCTGCACCGGCGGCAGATTCGCGTCCAGGATCAGCTGCACGTTCTTGGGGATGGTCACCTCAGGTGTCTTTTTTTTGGAGTTGGTACCCGTTTTGGATGGTTTTAACTTGAAACGAAAGCAAACAAACTCATGGGGTGTACCCTGTTTTGAGACAAACCCGGGTCTGCTGATCTGCTGAGTTGACTGGTCGTCTCTTTTTCCCATTCCATTATGACTACTTGCGTGATGCACCTCAGGTGACTTCTGACTCTCTGTCGCAAGAAAATTTGGAGGGAGTCAAACGGCGTAGCAACAGGAAACCAACCATTTTGGGGACTCCCTTTCTTGGGCATGACATGGGAATCGGACGGATTTCAGACTGACATTTCTCTTGTTTTTTGTCTTCGTAAGGGATTTGGAACCTCCGACAATATCTAGATCCCTTCACCGTCGCTTGGAACAACAGCCCCGGAAAGGGTGGCGAAAGGTGCCTTCAAAAACCAAAGCAGGTGGGCTTGTGTGTGTGTCTCAAAACGGACTCCTGAACTTGATTGTTTCCTCGTGGTTTCCCTGTACCGTCTATTTCTGAGACAAAATCGAGGTGTCCCTGGCATTCAAAGAGCAGCTTCCCTATTTTGGGAGAAACTCCCGAACAGTCGTTCTGGGTTGCTTTTGCCCGTGCGAAAGGTCGCCTACGAAAATTTTGCAGGTTCAATATGGAAAATTCATTCAAATTCCAAAAGGTCCAATTGAGGGGCCTTTCGGTTCACACCATCGCCCAGCCATGGCTTTGCTTCTCGTCAGGAAGCCGCGACTTGCATCCGAGTGGCCGTGTCCCACGCCTCAATCATCTTGGAGCACTTCAGCACGGCCACCGCTCCGCCGTTGATGGCTGCCTACGCGCAGCTCACACGGGGCTATCTCGCAGGCTGCAACTGGGTGCTAAATGGAAAAGTGAGAGAAGTTACTCATCCCTTTTTGGCCTCCCTTTGGACAAACTAACCGCGGGCCAATGTAGCACCCAGAAGTCAAAAGTAGACTCCACAGCTCCCGGTAGATGGTTGGAATCTCTTTAAAAATGACTAAACCGAAATGAGGGAACTGTGCCATCTACTTTCACCCAACTGCAAATCAAATGGCGGACTTTCCCGCGTGTGTTCTTTAAGGGAAAACCGAGCCCAGAAATGAAGCTCTTCCAGCTGAATATAACATCACCACCCGAAGCCGATAGGACATTGACTGCCAAAAACCCATACTCTGCAATATCGTCCGTTGCAAACGTGTTGTCTTTTGCCTTCAAAGAAAGACATGTGCCTTTCTTTTAGCTCACCTGCCCCATGTTGACCCAGCATTGCAACAATGTGAACTTTTCTGTCAGCAAAGTGGCAATCCCATCTCACCTTCCTTGGCAATATCGAGTCACTGACGTCAAACTCGCTGGGTGAACTTGGTGTTTAGAAACCCGCAAAACGCCAATCATTTCATCAGGAATCTTCTTGTACGCTGCCCCTTTGAGGGTTCCACGTGAATTTATAGGGGAGCCCCTCGAGACTATTGTTCTCGGAGGCTGTTGAAAGGACAGCCAAAGTAAAACCAGTCATTTCTGTTTGGCACTTCCATAATCAATCAATCAATCAATCAATCAATCAATCAATCTATCTATCTATCTATCTATCTATCTATCTATCTATCTATCTGTATATCTATCTATCTATCTATCTATCTATCTATCTATCTATCTATCTATCTATCTATCTATCTATCTATCTATCTATCTATCAACCTATCTTTGTTATCTATCCGTCGGCTTCTTGCCACCCCCCTTGAGAGGCGCCTGGATCGCCTCCACCGATGGCTCCAGGCGCACACCGATGCCGTCCAGCTGGAGGTCAACCTCACCAGGCACGACATGGCTGTGGTGGTCAAAAATGGGGTAACCCCAAAATGGTTTGCCCTGGCAAATGGAAGACATGACTAAACAAGCGGTCCGATTCCTGGTGGTTTAATTTTGACCCACACCCAAATGGTCCAAACCAGGACCCCACGAAACGTCAGGTTCCATTTGTTCCTTGGTGGGAGGGTAGTTAACTGCATTTGGAGCAGAGGGGGTTGACCATGCTTCCTTGACCATGCTTCCGGGACTCCTTCATGGGGCGAAGCGTGAACTCCTACATGACGGGAAATCCCGACATCAGACCTCCACATGTGATCTCTCAAATGCAGAGGGCGAATCTCCGCACCCAGCGGTTGGGATTGTCTCTTGCTTAATGTCCCTGACATCATGACCCTTACAAGGTCAAGACTTGGCACAAGGGGCATTCAGGGCCATGACTTGACCCCAGGGGTCATTCCAAATGGTGTGGTCTCCAAAAGGGCGAACCCGAATGGCGAAACTGGTTGGTTTCCTTTGGGAAAACACAACTGGTTGAGTTCTGGGGCCAAACTGGTCTCCTTTCGGTTGCCCTTCTAAACCCACCAAGCAAAGGTTGCCCCCAAAGTAGGCTGAAGATAAGGGGCTCCAGTTCAACCCCCAGTGGCAATGGAAAGCTCAGCATGACGGTTCCCATCGGCGGATCGAATTGCCTTTGGGAACAACCAAGGGTTCCAATTTTCCATATGCGTGGCCACCCATTAAAACGACCCATCGAAGAGTATGTTGCGAGTCCGCCTCCAGCACTCACTTTCCAGGACGGAAATCTCAAGCAAGTTGCTCACAAAAAGCGGGTCCTGTTGGCAGAAGTGTCCACTAAACTAGAACTACGGGCCCCGGTTTAACAACTGAAAAGAAGGAAATCCAGCATAATCAGTCCCGAACATTTTTGGAAATCCCATTCCGGGGCTACTGCTATATCCCAAAAAGAATGTGATTTGATTATGTTTATTCATTTATTTATCCATTAATGTATCTAATTTATTTATTTATCTATTCATTTATGTTTTCAGTTATCTATTTGTTGGTGGGGGGGAGGGGTGACACTTTGATGATTTCCGAAATGATGGAAGTTGTGTTTTATCATGTTCGGGGAGGAGGGTCCCAAAGAATGGAGATCCTATCGATTATTTGCTCACATGCAGGATTAATTCGAAAAATGTCCCAAGGACATGCATTCTATCCAAACCCTCGGAAACAAACGCCCCTCTTCTGCGTCCGCTCAAGCCGACGGGATTCTCTGGTCAAAGCCATACACCATCTGCTCGACCCCGATAGCTTTCCAGAAGCTTTCCGCACCCATTTGCGGCGAGGTGTTTGGACTCTCTCCAAACTTCATCTACCCGGATTTTATCGGCCCAAAATTTGTGCGGTTCCCACAGTAAACAGGCGAAAATTAGGGTGTCCAAAGGGTTGTTGTGGTAGAAACATAGAATGTCCCTGCAAAACTAACCACAGACTGGATTTTTGGGCAACGGACCAAGCATATCTCCATGCTCGTGCTCGTGCCTCCCCCCCAGGAAAACAAAAGAAGAGGAAACACAAACTAGCTGTCTCCCACGGCTGCCTCAAAGAAGGCCGGCGGTGGGGGTTTGCCCTCACGGTAGTTGGAGGACAGCCGCAGCTTCATGGCCTCCGAATCCAGCCGAGTGGGAAAAAAGGCCCCGAAACTCGTGGATGCTACCAATGCTTCCCACGTACCCAACCCGGATCAGATTGCGTCCTCTGCCCCAAAATTTGATTCTGACATGATGACTCGCAAACCACACGGGATACGCCCTTGATTGTCAGTGGCTACAGCGTGGCTGGCATTCAAGCCCTGGTGGTAGTGGAAACCATCTTAGAGTCAGACGAGGGAATGGGACCTTGTGCCAAGGATGGACTTCTGAGTTTGATTCTGGTTTTGAATTTGAAGGATCCTTTGGTGGACATCTAAAAAGGAGGGGTTATGCAACCCCAAGCATGCTTGCAGGTGCTCCAACCACCTGAATTCATAGCCAGCTGAATCTGAGACGACAAAGGCTCGAGTACTTTGCTAGTAAACATCACCATCACTCCTCGCTGATCTGATTTGCGGTTCACAAGGAGCCGTGGCCTCGACAGAAGACGTTCTGTGTTTGGGCAAGAATGAACTGAATTCAGCGACACTTTCATGGAGGATGCCCATGAACTGAATTATCAGCACAAGCGGGCAGAATTGGGGAGGGAAGCTAAGCTGCCTGCAGGTGAGTCATGTCGACCGCGGATGAATCAACGTGGCGGATGAATGCAGGCGTCGCTCCCCCAGAATCTCTAACACGGGGCAAACCCCCAATAAATCAACCAGGGCTTTGTTCAATCTGGGTTCCCATTAGAGGCTTCGGTGTCCATTTGGTGTCCAACCTCAAGACAACCAACAAAAACAGGCACCCCTCAACAAACATCAACCGAGTCTGTCTTCATCTGGGTTGCATTCTCCACCCAACCCCTCTGAAAGTATGCTCGCTTTGGGAGAACCCTTATGGTTGGCGTGAAAGCAAAACCAGATGCCAAAGAATGAATTGGCTGAACTGTCAAGTTGACTGTTCAGCAACGATTCATCTGATTCTATCTCACAATCTTTTTCAGCCTTGACTGAAATGAACAAAACCTGCCAACAAAGGTTCAAAGTTTCCCACCCGAAAACGTGAGAAGTGCGGGGGTCCGGGGCTTGCCCCCGACCCAACCCCCACCCCGCTGGCTCGCCTTGAGGGAGCTCTTTGTGGCGTTCAGCAGGGCTTGGTACATGGACCAGTTGTAGTGCGCCTTCACCTTGATGATCTCACCTCAGCATACCCCCCGGAAAACCGCAAACATGTCCGGATTTTTAGGGATGATTAGTTGGTGTTCAGAGTGTGGATGCTTGGGGTGTGGATGTTCAGGGGGAAGATCAGGTTCTGGGCGTAGAGTAGGTGTACGGTTGTTAGGACTTTTAAGACTTCTGGGGCGTTCAGTGATTCTGCTCAAGGGTGGTAAAATATTCGATTGTCCGCCTCAGCGCAAGATTTTCCTTTTGCCGAGCCCTTAGGCCAACAAGTTTGGCATACCTGCACACGAGAACTACTAGGGACGATCGCGTGCATGTAGCGGGTAAATACTCACGGAAAGGGGGCTTATGGCTTTTGGTGGGTGAGAACCATCCAGAGTCCAAGTACCTCATAAATATCTAATTTGCAAATCTATTGGAAGAATCAGGCTAGCGAGTTGCAAGGTTTACCAGGACCTCAATAAGCCAAGGTGCCCTAGGCAACTAAATCCTCCAGGGGTGACCGCCCTAAGCGGAGAAGTGGCAAAGCGCTGGGAGAAGGTTCAGCTGTTTTGGCTGGCAAGTTAGTCCTTTCTGGTTGTTTTGTTTTTTGTTTTTTGTTTTTTATTTATTTTATTTTTATTCTTTTATTTTTTTTATGTTCCCTCGTTTCTTTCTTTGTTTCTCCAAGGCGGTCCGCCTTTGGAGAACCCCCGATCTATTTTGCAACCAAATTGGCCTTTAACTCAAAAATGCAACCACCAACAGTGGCTTTGAAACAAAGCAGCGGCCGCAAACCGCACACCGAACCTCGTCGAGGGGAGAGGCGGTTCTCTCAAAAGGGGGACAAATCGCGCGACCGGAAACGCCGCTAGGCCGCTCTCAGTGACCGCCGGCACGTGGGGCTCCAGCTCGAAGCCCACGATCATGCCCAGCATGTCCTCGGGTCACAGCTTGGACCAAGGTCCAAAGTTACATCTAAACGATTATAAACGTTTGTTTCGTTTGTACAGGGGGCGGAAGCTTGAAGATGAGTTGGTTGGTGAGGGTTGGTGAAGCTTCAGTTTGAACCAGACCTTGGCCCAAGGGAGGGAGGGCTTGCAACACTGGTTCACACAAACAAGCCCGCTTTGCTCCCCCAGGAAAAAAAAATGACGTTGCGGAAAGCAAGAGCTGTTGAAACATGGGGTTGGCCCAACCCTGCAGGTGGCACAAGGTGGACATCATGACTAACGCTTCCTCAAGAGGACACAAGAAATTTGGGCCTGAAATAACCCCCGATTTTTCTGGAAGCCGCTAGACTTCGGTTTGTGGGCCATGGTCCCAACCAACCCCAAGCAAACGGCGCACTACTGTGCTCCAACTTAGGGCGGAGGTGGAAGTTCCACTTGACCCGTGTTTACGCTTTTGGGCCGTTCCTTGAGGCCAGTAGGACCCGCTTCCTGGAATACAATTACGCAACGAAACTCAGGAAGTCTGTTGGAACCATCCCCCATAAACCCGTAGGGGAGGCTCCGTATGCGGGAATGGGCCTCAGCATAATGCTGGTCGCATTTTCCGACTTGATTGTCCTCAGAACTAGTTTTGTGCATTTGCTTGAAGGAAACAAAAATATCAACCAGCACCCCAGCAGCTTTCTCACCATCTCCTAAACCCAGAGTACTGGCCAAAAAGAAGCCATTGGAAGGTGCTGGAAGGACCCTGCACACGCAAGAACCGCGCCAGGCGTCGTTTACAGCATTCTCGATCTCCACGTTCTTTGCTACCAGGAAGTCGGTGGTCGCCCGTACGTGCCGCTCCTGCCAAGGCACAGTCACAGTCCTCTGGCTTGGCCAATTTCGTGAGTCCATGACCCTCCCAAATGAACCATCTTGAAATGTTGACTGAAACTCACGTGAGCTCAAACCTCTACAGGCACAGAAATGGATCTCGCACCATTTACTGAAACCTGGAAAAGATCAGGGTTGCTGTTTAAAGACTCTGGCACAAGGGTAGAAAAATTGGACCCTGAAATCTTCCCGGTTAGAAGGCTAGGATCATGTTCAAGAGGACCTTCCGCTATATTTGATGTTTGCGAAGCGTTGGGTAGATAGACATTGTAGCCTCCAAAATGCATCAAGATCAACAGCAGATCTGATATGGCGGAACATAAAGGGCATGACTTTCTCACCACGAAAGCTTCAGGTGTTGATGTCTATTCACCAGGAACCAGGGACAAGGCAGGCTTAGTTCTTCGGGTCGGCTCGCATGCTTGACAAGCGTGGAACCAAGGCAGCCACCCCTCCATCCGAGTAAGCCTTGGTGCTTGGGACTCTGCTATTCCTTGCTTTTCTTTGGACAAAGGTGCAATGCAGGTTTCCCGAGCCCGACCTCAATTTGTGCAGATGACTGTTCCCGTGCCCCTGCCATTCGCCGAGCCGAGAGAACATCAAAACGTAAAGAACAAACATGGACGAATCACTGTTAAAATATTCCTGCAAGGGCCAAACTTAAACCCCTGCCAACTTCTGGATTAACTAGGAGCTGTTGGTTGGCATGGCTCTCTGGACTGTCTGGAGGAACATACTCAGGGGTGCTTTCCCTTTCGGTGAGGGAGTCCATCACGTGGCGCCATTCTTTGTGATTCACGAACGCTACGGTGCCTCCAATAACTTGGGGGGGGGGGGGGGGGGGGGCACGGCAGACTCAACCCGCACACGCCCTCCCGCCCCATTCACCCTTCAGCCTGCATCTCGACGAACTCCTCCAGGGTCACCAACTCTTGCTCCTGGACGGCTTCCAACTTGCGCGTCGAACGAAGCAAGCGGATCCCACGGACATCGGAGGTTCTGCGCAGGAAGGGTCAACTGGGAATGATAGCTTCACCTGGGATCCCAATGGGCAAGGTCAGCTCATGGACACTTGTTCATCCCACGTGTAGGTTGTGTATGAAGATAATCCACTGGGAATAGAAAAATTGCCATGAGGGAGGCGTGTGGCTATGAATTTCAATCAGGAGTACCCTCCCTCACGTGGTTGGTCATGAATCCCCAAATCATGTCCACTCTGTCCATTGCGAATCGGGCAGCCAAGCGGTTGGCTTCAGATCCTCGGGCAGGTTCACCAGCAGCACGTTGGACACGATCTTGAGGTTGGCATCGATGCGGCTCTCCATGAGGTCGTTCACCGCCAGCACCAACTGCTCAAGCCTCAAGCCCCAGCAAACAAAACAAAAAAACCCACCAAAAGGTTCTTAGGTTCTTAGGGCGAGGGATCCAAGAGAACCTTTCTGGTTCTCAAGGAATGAGCTTGGGCTTCCGGAATGAACCCGACCTCATTCCCTGCTGAGGTTCTCAGCAAGTTGTAGGATGGTTCTGAGAACCCAGTTGAGATTCAGCCCGTCGAATATGAGAAATTTGCACCAGGAATCCGGAACAGGTTTTCGGGAGTTGCACCCTCCAGCAGGTTGATGAACTCGGGGCCGGCATCACCCCACACCTCCCGACAATCTGCCGGTCATCTTGCAGAGGTGCTGGAGCTGCCACCAACAACAACATTTGCCTGTCACGGCCATCTCCGTTTGACCCCAACTTGTGTTGCTAATGGGAAGTACAATAAGTATCGCCAACCTGGGCCGTGGGGAAGGAAAGCCTTGAGGCCATGCAATGGTTCAAGAACCTCCAAAGATGGATGGGTTGGGTTCCAGGTTCCCCTCGAAGAAGGTTCTTCTATACATGATGAATTGTAAATGATGGGTTGTCAGATTCATATTCATCGGTCGCCCCGCATTACCTGCAATGCCTGCTGTCGCACTGAACCCTATCAACGACTCAGTTTGGTTCTCCAACCCACCGAGCCCACAAATAGGTTACCAAGGGGTCTGTTTCCGGACCGAAAAGCGGCTCGGGCGAAAAGTCCCTTCAGATCTAAGCCGGATCGGTGCTTAGAGGAAAAATGTCCTTTGGGTAAGTGGGGGGCCGCAGAAAGGTTACTTACAAACAAGGTCAGTGGGTTTTTACTATGGGTAACCGACCACGTACTAAGTATTGAGTAGTGCCGGGGTTTTCAGGGTGAGCCAATCCTAAAAGACGATTAAATCCTGCTTGGACAGAAAACTGGTGAACAGTTCGGCTTGCTTTCCCAGGGACAAGTGTCTAACCTTGTGCCGTTTGTAGCAACCCTGTTTCATGGACGTGGTGAGGTCTAGATATGGGTGTTTGGGCGCTTCTCAAGCCGGATTGCCCCACACCGGATATGCGCTTCACGAAGCGTGGTTTCGTGTGTTTGTGCACTTGGGGAGACCCTGTTTGTGGGCCGCGCGGAAGCGATGCTGGCCTCAGCCCCACTTCACATCCGCCAGCTTTGAAGTCTTATTGACTATGACGGATCCACGGCATTTGTGAGATCCCAGCCCCACTGGAAAGGAGACAAGTTCTTTATTCCGAGGCGCCTGTCCAGTTCCTTCCAAACCTCCTCCAGGTAGGCCTCGATGTTCATGGACGTCCAGGTAAGGATCACCAAGCCCGGCCTGGTGCGAGGCCCGGAGAGCTCTCTCACTTCCTCACCGACCCCAATCCCTGGTTGGAAGCTGCTTTTTGTTTTTCTGTGTTTGCTTCTTCTTTTCTTTTCTTTTTTGGGGGGGATCCCTCCAAAGAAAGGCGAAACGGGTAGAGGTCTGGGACCTGCGTATGAGAGGCTCGTTTTACGTGTCAAGCGCCGATATGATTCCAGATCAACTTTTTGCGCGGCTCATGTGTTTGTCAAGATGGTCAAAGTCAGCGCAGCGATTGCCTCAACAGAAAAGCCCCAGTTTCTAACTTCGAACCCCCCCGGCAGTCTTACTCCAAAGGAATTCCTGCCGGGGCTGCACTGTGCAAATTCTGTCCCTGCCAAATTTATCGGTTGGGTGCAGCGAAAAGCCAGCGACCCACGGCTCGCCCACCTCATCTTGAACTCGAGGTTCTCCATGTGGGGCCGCATGAGGTTAGTGGCGATGGGCTTCACGGACTGCGTCACCCGCCGGTACTCCTTCAAGAAGAAGGAGAGCTCATGGTTGTAGGTCTTGAACTTCTGCTCCTTCAAGCGTCAAAGCGATTCTGGAAGGTTAAGTGTTGAAACCATACAGTAGGTCCCTCCTGAAAGGTCCCCCCGTAGATATGCCCCAGCGCAGTCTTTAACTTCTGCGGGGAGTCCCATTGGGCCGGCCCCTCACAAACTGCTCCCATTCGACTATGACATCAGCGAGGTAGCTTGGCCCCCGAACCGTAGGAAGCTAAAGGAAACCAAAGGAAACCGTTGACCCTTTTTCTATCCCTGGGGTCTTGATCGTTGAGACTCGGCGCAACCTTGGTTCGGAAATGAAATGAACGTAAAAAGGGGTTCCGACCGAAGTGTCCTGACAACAGGGGAATCGTGTGCCCACCTTCCGCCTGCTGCATTTGGTCGACCCCGGAGAAACCGAGGATGAAAGGGGTGCTCCGCAAGAATATTCAAGACCCCTTTACAATGGGTTGCAACTCCCCCAATAATTACAACAACTTACCGTTTGGAGGAGGACCGCGTGGAGGAGGATAATGATGGATTGGGCCCTCCATAAAAAATGGTGGTCAGACCTGCCGGAGCCACGGCGGAGCCGGACCTTTGCTTGCTCTACGGAGTCTTCAGATGGACCGAGCCCTACGGCACCTTCAGAGGAGCCGAGTCCTACGAGAGCTGGGAAAATCTGCTTAACTACCAGATGGACTGGGGCTGCTGGGCATCATCTTGAGCACGGAGCTCAAGGTCCAAGATGGCCGTCAAGAGGAGGAGGAGGGGAGCTCAGCTTCAACGGTGAAGCTGTTGGCAGTGGCGGTTGGTTCCATTCTCTTGGTTGCTCTTGACCCCTCTGCAAAAAGCTTAACTTTTGTGGGTTTGATGGAAAAAATCCCTTGATTTCCCAAAAAGTGAAAGTCTAAAGATCCAACCCAAGCCATTAGCAATCAGGTTCTGTGCTACAAGGTGCTGGAGCTGATCGCGAAGGCTGCTTTGGAGCAAAGAGGGCGCTTGCCCGAGCACCTGCAGGGAACCCGGGCAGTGCAATTGGGACTTGGGAGAGTCCGAGGAGGGGCTCAGGCAGCACGTGGAAAAAGGTGAGGCGCGACTTCAGACTGGAGCGGTCTTAGCAGAGTCGGGAAGACCAGCTGATGGAGGACTACCGAGTCCAGAGCTGTTCGGTTGAGCAGGAACCAACTTCCTCGAGAGGTGGAAGTCGGCCTCGTGGGAGGCGACCGGAGGCCCCACGCACTCTGGGGAGCACCAGCGAGCACAAAGACGAGGACTCGGTAGATCGCTGTGGAATTCCGGTTGAACTGTACCTGACGTCGGGCGAGCGCTATCACTGGAACTGCTGGGGCTTCGCCAGGCCGCTGATGCATCTGGAGACGGGACGAGATTACTTTGGCCAAGGCAGTGAAAGCGGGATCCACGGCGGACGAATCTTTAGGGCGCAGGGTTCTCTGACCCATCAGGGAAGGGGAGCACGTGCGCCGAATCACGGAAGCTTCTTGATCAAGGATGAAAACCAGCAGAGTCCTAGATGTTCGAGCTTGGATTTGCGGGTAGAAGACAAATGTCTTTCCCAACCCCAGAAATTCAGTTGTTGTCTCCCTCTAATTGGTGGCTTGGATTGTTTTGGAGGTGTTCCGGGGGTGGTATCCCATTAACCCACAAGAAACCAGAGGTTCAAATCCCCAGTTCCCAATCCACACTGGCTGCCCCAAAAACGGTCTCCCAGCCTGCAAAAGGATCATCTTCGCCGACTCCGGGATCTCCACTCCACCTCATGGGGACGCCGAGGGCTCGCAGACAGACTCGGGGCTCAGCCATGTTTGGATTCGCAAAGCTCTACCCAGGAGGTTGCTTTCTGGTTGGAAAGGGATTTAGACACTCTTTGCGGGGTTGGCAAGGTCCCTGCCAGTTCAGAATTGCTGGACTTTGCCAAAAAACGGGAAAAAGGTGGCCATAAAAGAAATATCGAGGCAGGAAAGAAATTCCGAGTACGCCCTTTCCGACCAACCCACCCATTTTTTCGGAGCTGGCAATCCGAGTCCGGGACCCATCCGATCCAGGCATCGGGTTTCCCGGATCAACTGAAGGATCTCCCAGTCGAAGTTCACGTGGAAGCGCATGCCGTCGTCAGGATGCCTCAAGCAAATCGCTTCGTGTGTGTCTCGCATGGCTTGCACCCCCGAAAATGGAAATGATTCGGGCTCCAGCTGGTTTCCATTCACCAACCAAAACGGGGTTCCCAAAAAAGCACGCCCAAACAGCCTTCTCAAATAGGCTTGTCTCCTTTATGGGAACCCCCACAAATGAGTGCTTTTCATTTGGTTCCAAGGGTAATGGTATGTTCGCTGTGACGATCTTTTTGGGCAGCCACGTGCTGATTTCAAGCCCCTCCTCTCGCTTCAGCTTTCGCATGACAAATGACGCCATGTTTTGCTCGACTGTTCTTCTGTACCAAGCAAGCAATAAATAGAAAGCGACAGGGCAGCTAACTAGCAAAGATAGCCCAGAAGAAAAGAATAGAATGATCACGCGAAACACGGCTGGGGAAAATTGAGTGAGTTGCGGGAATCCCCTACACACAAGAGGCACAGCGCGAAGTACCTGTGCCGGACACTTGCTCCGCACAATTGGAAACTCCATGTACGTGGATGGAAATTTGGCGGTCGGTATGCTTATGGTCCCTGTTGGAAACCCTCCGGAATGGGTCCAAGTCCCGGACGTGAGCGAAATGACACAGGCCACGCACATTTTTGTCAAGGACATGCGAAAAATCAGATCCCCTGGTTTTTTGTGGGTCGTTTAGGACGTGGCCCCCCATGTCCCGGCCAAAATGAAACATAGGCCACCGGATGTGTTCACCGAACCTCGCATAGCAATCTGTCCTGTCAACTCCCCTCGGACCCTCCCCAGGGTTCCGATTTGTGGGTACTCTCACAAAGACCCGAAGCTTTAAGGACCTGCTCAACATGGTTGGTAAACAGCGAATGTCCGTGTTTCGAATTAAATCGTGGGCCACCCTTGGCTTCCCTTTGGCTTCCGTTTCTATGTTCCTCTGAAATAAAGGGGACTCTCTGGTGGGTTGCATATTGGTGGGAAGTGCCCTCCAAGAGGAACCCGGCATCACTAACGGAATTTCATCCGCCTTGGGAGGACATAAGGCTGCTAGAAATCTTTGCGATGCTCTACCAACAAGAACAATCGTTTCTTCAGACTAAACCCGAAACTGCCACCCTTCGGATCCCTCGTTGCTTGAGACCCTCTCCCCCCAAAAAACACACACACACACACACGGCGCGCGCGCGCGCCGGGGCGCTTGATGATCAAGGTGGCCTGCAGCCCGGACTTCACCGTCTCGATGGAGCTCACCCAGGCCTTCGGCATCGAAGGCGGGCCTTTGGTGTCCCTCGATTTTCCACCGGTCGTTTTGGCGTTGGCACGACGGCGCTGGTTTGTTGGTTCCATGGGGAGTCCCGTTCAGAACATAAAGGGGTCGGTTCATGGCTCTGTGTCAAGACTCCCCTTTCCATTGAGATTCCTGTTATGCAGAATGGAGAATGCCGCAGAATGCCAGAGAGCAAATCTGCCCATCTTTGCACAATGTCATCTCCACTTTAACATCACCCAAAGAAATGCAACTCATCTTGAAAAACTGAGCACTTCAAAAGGAACCTGAAAAAGGGATTTGGTGCCACTTGATCGGATAACATAACTCTTGTTGGGTTACACAAACCCCAGGCCGTCTGTTTGGTTCAGGGGATGGGGGTCTAAGACCTGGCCTTTGATCCCATTGAGGGGCCCTGGTATTGGGCGGTTTCCTTGTCACCCGTGAACATGGGCTTTTCACGCTTTTTGTGTTGCAGAACGTCAGGCCTGGTACCAGAGGGTCTCAAACTCCACCAGCGTCTTGGCCATCTTGTTGTACATCCTGATGAGCTTCCTGGAGTCTCTGCCCGCCTGAGTCAGTCAGTCAGCCAGTCACAACCCGGCCAGACGCACACGGGTCTCCAGCCCCAGGTAAAAATCAAAAGTTGGTTCGCGCAGAACGAACAGAAGGGAGAATCCGGATATTAGAGGCATCATACAAAGCTCAGTTTGTAACATAGGGGGTGGCGCTCCCCGTTTTTCCCCTTGGGATAGTAGTTGGGAGTACAGCAAACCCTCAGCACAGGGTGAGGTCGGGGGGGGCCTACTGGCTGCCTGGACTTTCTCATCTCCGAAGCCCAAAGCCCAAGGCTGAGGTCCTGAGGTCGGGACCAGCACGGCAGGGTTGGTCTGGAACTTCTGCATGGGCCCTTCAATTCTCCTGGCATCCCATTTCCTTTCCTTTTCGCCCTGCTCGAAAAGTCTTAAAGCTCGAAGATCAAAACCAAATCACAGGCACCTGGCCAATGCCAAACTGCGATAGTTCCCAAACAGAAGGGGTCTCCACCTCTTCCCAAACCGGACAATTACAAGCGAACCCCCCAGGTTTTGGACCTTCACGAGGTGAGCTCATTTCACCCATGAGCTCGGTACAACTTGCCCAGAACGAATGTAGCTTTGTGAAATTGTGCGTTCTGCACAAACAGCGGATAATGCGAGTGACATCCGGGGTAGAAACTTATAAGCCACAGAAAGAACTCCCTAAGAAACCTTCATCGGCTCCGAGTTTTGCTGCTTGCCCACTTGGGTCTGTCTTTCTGAGTTTGCTTTAAGGGACACAAGGAAACCAAAAAGCCGTTTGAAGGTTCCGCGTCCTGGTTGAAGACAAGCTGCCCCAGGCACCGGCAAAGGGAAGGGAGGGGCGCCTTTTCGAATTTGGCAGCGGATTGGTTCGCTGCGGCACGAGTTGAACTGCTGGAACTGGCGAAGTTGGAAGCTTGACGGCGCCGTTTACCACCGGCTTCAGCATGCTCGAAACACCGCCGCGTAAACTGGGTCCATTGAAGTAACATCAGCAAAATCCCCTCCACACAGTAGTTTAAAGAGGAAACTGCCAAAAAAAAAGAAGAAATGTTGTTGAGAAACAGACCCCAAGCTTGCCCAACAGTTCCCTGCGTCTCCACTTGTACCACCCCGCAAAGATGAGACTCGCTTCAAATTTCAAAAAGAGCTCCATGTCGGTTAGTCTCTAAATGGACATACCCTTTGTGTGGCTTCGGTGTCCCTTGGGTTTTACCCCTTACCAAAAAACAAGGCATCGAGGGCCAACCTGCTGTTTAAGCATGCTAGCACTATTTCAACAACCTCCTTGTGCCCTTTACACCCCAGCTGGCATCCCAATTTTCCAAGCAACCCTCACGCTTGGCGCCTGTAGAGATGCCGAGACCAAGTGATATGCCCCGCGACCGGCGGCAGGTTCCGCACCAGCGGCGGGCCTAGGCGAAGCGCCGATCGAACGCGGAAGCGACAAGGTCACCGACCTTTTTTCGGGCGAAGCGGAAACCAAGCTCGGGAACTTTTGCTGCAAAGCTACAAATTAGTCTGAACCACTTACCGCTATCACAAACAGGAGATCATTTCCCAAAAGTCTGCTCAGATTTTGCTCAGCCAAGCCCAGCATTTCCAAACGGCCTGTGACCACGTGCGGTGCGGCATTGGACAAATGGTCGAAAAGAGGAATCAATCTTTTTGCAGCATCTTTTGGAAGTACTCCCAGGATCAGATTCCGCCTTTCCTTGGACCAACGCACCGCTTGGCCGTGCGGGCACCAGAAGCTCCCCTGCTACTTTCTCGTTTACGATTTGGACTTGGTTCAAGTGACTTCAGGCACAAGCTTCATCCGATCCGAGGCACCCAGGGACCTCTGCTCAACCCACAAGGTGGAAGGTGGGCCGGGCCTTCAAAGGTTTATGCCTTGAGGCAAACCAAACGGCTTCCTTTCCGCGCGCCTGTCTTGTACTTCTCGTACTGGTCCTGCACGTGGGTGAGCTCCAAGCCATAGTTGTGGAAGATCACCGCAAACTTGTTCTCCAGATCCTGCCGCAGGCCTCGGGCGTCTGCACCGTTTGAGGGGTTCGGAACCCCTGTTGCCATGAACTGCATGGATTGATGTTTGCTGAATGCGCCGCTGCTCTTCCTCCTTAGCATGTTGGGGTTCAGCCGCAAGGAGTTTCTGACTCACATGCTCTACTTGAAGGTGCAGAGTGTTCGGAGCCCTACTTTGATTGCACTTGGCTTGACTTGATTTGATGAAGCAAGCTTCCCTGCGGTCTGGGGTTCCTCTGCCGGGTCAACTTAGTGGTTCGGAACCCTGCTTATCCACTCAACGGGGGCGTACAACCAAGCCAAGTAGGTAGCCATGGCTACTAGCTATTGCCGGGTCTCATGAATCCTTGCCGAGCTGTCGCCGAGCTGTCAGCTCCTCTCTTGGCATACAGGCAATGGGCCCCGAAGTTGCAAGCATTGGAGTTTAGTCATCCGCACATGTGTTTTGGCAAATGTGCATATCGGTGTGTTCACCTTGGTGTTAAGGAAAACCAACAGAAAAAAGCACTAAATTTGGGCCTCTGACTTTGACAGATACCCTTGTGGCCTTTCTCTCCAAAGCAGGTCTTGTTCAGAACAAGACGCTACTCAGTTTCAGCACACACACACACTTTTCCACTGAGACACATTAAACGCATCAGGACGACACGGGCAGAGTGACCGTTGCTTGTACATTTTCTGATTCACAGCGCCACAAAGCCCTATATATGAGAGGGAAGCCCCGAAATGGGCTGCTTCCTTTGGTTTGACAATTCAGTATGCTGGTGCGTATTTCCTGAAAACAAGATTTGGCCCTCCAATTCGAGCTCATAATCATATAGTCGCCGGCCAAAAGGCTGTCTCGCTGCAGGATGCTTTGGAACTTCGCCAGCAGCTTCAACGAGGACTCAATGGAAGCGATGGCCTAAACGTCGGAGAGCCCTCCCCTACGCGCTGCGCGTACCTTCTAAGGAGGTACTTTCACGCCTTTTGACCTGCCAAGAACCATCCTCAAAGGGAACTGCGACGGGAAAGAGCTGGAGAAATGACAAAAAGACTGAGTGACAGTTCGTATGTCCAAACATTGCATCATTTGAAGGGAGAAAAACTTCCATAGCCTTGAATGGACTCTATGCGTCATGCTCCCAGAAGGGAAGTATAAGGATCCCTGACCACGACCCCATGGTTGTGCAGTGGTATTGTGTTGCCCGATTGACCACGCCTCGAAGGACTGGTTGATGAACTGCCGCAGGTTGCTTTCCAGGTCCTAAGCACGTGCCACTTCCAGTGGAAAATTAGGGCTGATCCGAACCGGTTATCAAAACAAGTCAGGCTGCTTAACTCTGGGCGTGTGGCAGCGTCCTTTGTTAGTTGGGGGCGTAGAACGACCTCACCCATGACGAAGGTTCTTTCCTTAGGGGCCCCTATTTCAGGACAGTAGATCATCGCCACGGGGTTCAAGCTTCCAGGGGTGTGGCTGAGCTGGCTCGCCATGGATCTGGAAGCCGTGGATCGATCTAGCACTTCGGATTTGCTTGTGGAAGGAAAAGTGGGCAATCGGGCCACACGCACTTCAAGGGGCGCGTCCGGTTGGAGAACAAGGGGTTGGCCTTTCCAACAAGTCTGCTTGTGGTGGTTTCTCCGAGGTGTGTCAGATGCCCGGGGTCACCGGTGTGCAAAGTGCTGCTCAGGGGTGTGGCTTTCGGCTGTCAGCCCAGCTGCGCTGAAGATTGCAAGTCTTCTTCGTGTGTACTCTGGTGCTCGGCGACCATGCTACCGTTTCACTGAGAGCATACTGCAGCTGCGTCAATCATGGTGCTCTAATTGCACTAGGGGGTGGTGTCTCATAGATTATCATATGGCCATTGCACCAAAAACAAGTCAGAATGCCACTGCGTGCAGAACTTCAGCAGGTCCAGCTAGTGCTGACAGTGTACTAAGTGGCCGAATGCAGGAAACACCCGCCCTGCGTTCGGGAAGCCAGCTCTACGGGTGTGGCTGGAGATGCCCTTCGCAGCCAGGTTCAGGCTGCATGGTGCATCAAGCTTCAGTCAGGTGGAAGCTGAGCAGAGGGGAAGTAGAAGCGTGGCTGAGGCAGCAACTGCCGGGAGCAGTCAGAGGGGAGTACAAAGCCCCCGGAACGTGCCAGTGGCATCAGCTCATGCTGCGACGGGTCCAGTCGTGGTCTGTTGCTGGTCTGGCTCGTTTTGGTAGGCGTTCAATGGCTGACAGTGTGCTCCGCCAGACAACAACTAAAACGAATAAAAAAGGACAGTGAATCATAACTTATAACCCAAAAAGGACATGGCTAACCCTCGCTCTTCCCTAGGCTTCCCTTCGAAGCAACCAAAAAAAGAAAAGCACCCTCAATTGCAGGTACCCCTCCCCTTGTTGGCTTTTTTGGTGTTTTCTCTAGAGCCTGGCTACTTCCCTAAGGCCCGGATTTCATCCCACCGGCCGCTAGCGGCCAGGCCACGGAAATTCGCACGTTGAACTCCACATAGTCCCGGTCGAAACGGTTGTTGTGGAAGTCCTGAGTCAAACCCGAGATTGGTTGTTGCCCAGGGGGTCTGGGAAAGATACATAACATGATATCATTATTTCGGGGCAGTGAATATTTGCAGGCCATTAGCACCCCAAGCAACATGTCAATGTGATGTTGAAGGAGCAGGGAAGTCTCCGAATCAGCTTTCCTTCAAAACTGCCCCAAAAATGTGCAAAAACTCAATTTAAAAAAAAAAAGGAGCTGGAACCAATTGGGCATGAATTATGAGGGACCCTGTGGGCACCATATGCCTCTGGGGGTTGCTAAGGAAGGAAACTGTCAGGAAACCACCAATTTTTGAGGCTCTGATCCATGGTTGGATTGCTCGTGACGAGTCGCGGGAAAATAAGTTTATCTAACCTCATTTTGGGGATGGCAAACCATTGAAAAGGGCGGCAAGCGCAGGGAAACCTACCCTTTGGCAGTGCCCAGTCGGCAAAAGGATGGCCTATCGCGACAGGCGTTCGCGTTGGGGGGCAACTTGTGAATGTCTCATCCCACGCTAAGACTTGTGCCGGTTGCGAGATTTCTTGGTAGGATTACCTGCGCCATTGGTGTGGGCACCTCACTTTGTGACTGCTTCTTGCGAAAGTGCCCTTCTTCCCCCCCCCCAAGCCCCTCTTCAGCCCCCCAGTTCTGAAAAACCTGATCGAAGGGCTTCTGATAGTCTGACAACCAATCCTTCTCGTCACCACCATATAGAGATTCGCGTCCGAGTTTGCCTCCCTTTGCCCATCACAGAGCTCGAGAGCCCAAGCGACTCGGCCCCCAATGGACTCACCGAGCCCAGCGATTCGAATCGCCGAGCTGCCAAGAGGTCGTGGCGCTTGAACTGGAACTCCTGCGAAATGTCTGACCCAAAGACAACAAAAGCGCGAGCTGGGTGCGTGGCAATAGCCCTGGCACGATACGCGTGGGGCATTTCTAGACCAAACTGCGGGGTTGTAGCCCAACTAATAAAACTTGAGAGGCGGGTGAACGCAAGCTAGCCTAGCCAGCTCGACATGTACGACTCCGGAGTTGCTAGGGCATTCGGACTAGCAATGCTATATGAACGTCTGGACATGTCTAGAAAGACAGGTTCCCCAGCTGCAAATATGTAGACGAGATAAGCCGGGGCGGCACAGGGGGGAATCGAGCCCCTGGGTGGGGGGGGTGGGAAGCTCAGCCCCTAAAAGAAGCTAAAGCTTAGAGAACTCCCGCTAGCACAGCTAGCTTTCGTGATTTTGAGGTGATATTGGTTGTGCGTCCCCAAAAAGAAGACCCTCCAAAACGCACCGACTTTGTCATCCCCACCTCCAAGATGCTCTTGAAGGACTTCACCAGAGGCTCCATGCCATCAAACCGGTGCTGGGACAAAGACCTCTGTCAACCCGCCCCCCATCGGTGTGGTTCCTTTCAACCCTTGTTGGCTGGCTGCAGAGGGGAAACCAAATGGAGTTGTTGCCATTTTGGGGTGCCTGATGTTGGGACGAGGCCAAAGGTGTCCCTCTCCCACTAGGCCCGCGAACCTTGGCTTCATTGCTTTCATGTCAGTTTCAAGGGCCCAAAAGGGCAACTACCACTGCCCCGCCCACCCTAAATCAGTAAACAGAGGCTCAGATCTTTTAAACATGCCATAGTCCCTAGGATTTCTTGGGGTAGGATCTTTCAGGTCCCTGGTTCCGTAGGATTCTCCAAGGTTCCAATCGTTTCGCAGCGTTCCATATCGATAAATCCACACGGCTCCCGACTCCAGGAACACCCCATGCATCGTCAACACAATCAGGGGTCATTCTACTTTCCCTTTAGACATCCCCCCCGAACGAAAAACACACAAAATGAACTATATGCCCAACAATTGCGCTTCATGAGACACAAACCTGACAACCTGACGATATATTCAACCAGTTTTGCAATGATAAGCGCCACACATGCTGGCAAGGCGCGTAAACTGGTGCACAGTCTGGAACATGTCAATGAGCTTGGTGACACGTCGGCAAAAGAGGTCGAAGCGACCGAAAATCAGAGTCTCGCTGAAGTCAAACTGCTTACCTGAGCACAACTTTTGGTCTGTGAATAGATGGCATCGCCTCTGTCCATTTTTGTCATCATTGCGGATCCTGACTGAGATGGTGCAATCCTTCAGTTATTGTTGTGCTTGATGTCGAGTATCCTTTGTCAGAGCCTGCAAGGCATCATCGAGTTCATAGCCCTTGTGTTCCATTGTATTGGGTTTCGAGCCCGCGGTATATGGTCTCTGTTTGAGGGCGCATTTTCTGCCAGTGTCTCAAAACGAAGCGGAGGGCCGAAGGCAAACCCAGTGTGGGTTCTGGTTGCCCTATTTGAAGTCAACATTGAGGGAAAGCGAAAGGCTGCCATACAAAGCCTTGCAATAAGGCCCACCTCGGGATCTCTAGGGTGTCCCAATTGCTCTTCTTGTCACAGGTGTTGTCAAACTCCAATTGCCATGTTCGAGTGATGGTTCGCTTCACTACTCTCAGGCCTTTTTGGCCTGAGAGGCCAGCCCAGACATCCACCTTCGATAGTCATGCAATGGCAATAATTTGTTGAAAACCACAAATCACATCCGCTGAAGAGTGCCCTCCCATACGTCCCTTCATGCAAGCCTGGAATGTACTGCTTGGCAGGCATGAAGGCAGAAAAATCACCTTGACTCCCTCTCACCATCGAACCAAGACACCCTTTGGCAGTGTCATCAGCGTGTCCTTTGTCTGCCTGTAGTACTCCTGAGGCTCCAAGGCGGTTTGTGGGAACAACAGGTCGACAGGGTGGGACTAACCGATTGTAAACTCGGCCAAGTCGTCGCTCGCAACCCCGCGCGATTTGACGCATTGGCAGTGGAGAGCTTGTCAGGGGTGAATTTATCCTCCGTTCCTGCCACAGTGTCAGCAAGGAACGTATCTTTGGTCAGAAAGCACTGGATCCCAAAATGGGTTAAAGTCTGCAGGTTCATCTAATACAATGTTCAAGTGCCAAAAAGCCGCGCCAAACAGAATTTATTGCCTTCCGAATATGATTAATGAACCTTGCGTAAAGTCAAGCCTAACGCAGGAGGCCTTCACACAACAACAAGCATTGCTTCACAAGTATGTCAGTGTCAGGTAGGAAGGGCGACTGAAGTGGAACGAAATCCTGCACCCTCTCTTTATCAGTCTTGCAGTTCCCTATGTAACCCCCAACTTGGTCACTACTTTTTAATTTCTCGTTCCTTCTCTTGCAGGGGTGGATCCAAAAATTTCCGCGCCGCATCAAAACAGTACGGGTCCCGTCTCCTGATACTCCTCGTTGAGGCGGATGCAGGACCACAGGTTCCTCAGGGCGAACCAAGGCCACCCGCACTGCTGCAGCCAATGCAAAGAATCCATCCTGGAGTCTTCATGACTGCCTGAAAATGTGCCTGTGAGTTTGGGGTAATAACTAATGACCCTCATGTTTGCAGGGTCGTGGAGAGGCAATTCCTCTTCAAAGGCCCCCCAGGAAAAGTGTGTACCTGATGCAGTGCTTCAACGTCACCAGGCGTCCCTCAAGTACCGCGAAAAAGGCCTTCCCATTTCAGGGAAGCGAAAGGGGCGTAGCTGGGGCATCAACCACATCCACGATGTGTTTGGAACAACCCAGCCATCCGAAAGGCCCGAACCCAGCCATTTCAAGATGACCGCAAGGGGTGTGAAATATATAAAGAAATAGTGCAGCTGGGTGTCTTGATGAGCACCAGCGGATCTTTGTGCCACAAGGATTCCGACTCCTCGCCTTCCAGGACGCACTCCTGCGAAACGTACCGACTGACGGGTGTCTACCCCTTCACAACTTGGTGCGCGTGAAATGGAATGACCCCCCTACAAACCATCCCCTATGGTTTCCTTCAAGGGAATTTCAAGGTTTTACTCCCCTCATGTTCATTGTCTGCTGAGCACCAGCAAGATGACCCCCCCCCGACTTGTGATTCAAGGAGTGCCGAATCATTGGGGCTTCCATTATCGCAAGTGATCCCCTGATGAATAATTGGGCGGTTTACTTCTCAGTGTTGACATTGAAACTTCATTGGAGGTTTTGCAGATTCAGATGGACATCATCGACCCTTGGTGGACATCATCGAAAACGCAACCGCCAACCATGTTTGAGGGATACAGTTAAGCGAGCCCAAAACTGACCCAGCAGCCCTTTTTCGGCATTTATATTGTGTATATATACATATATATATATATATAAAAAGGATGATTATAGATCCCTTGCGAAGCGCCTTGCCCCTTCAGGTATCCCCTTGTTACAAACATTTACCAAAAGCGCCCATCAGGCGCCAGGAGGGGGTACCAAATCAGTCCCTGTCAGTGACAAAAAGTGAATCACTGCAACAGTTTTAATATATTTTTTGCGCGCAGGGAGAACCCTTCATTTCCAGTCCTTGCAGTTGGTGATCATCTGGTTGGTGATCTTGGCAAAAAGGTTGGTCATGCGCTCCTGGGCACCGGGGCAGTGTTCGGCCAGGCTGGTGGTCAAAACTCCCTCTGCGGGTCATGGTCAGGGCCATGGTTCTCTTTATAGGAAACCCGGGAACCCTGGTAATTGGCCAAATTGGGCAGGCGGTCCATGAGCAGCGCGACTAAGACCAAGTAAAAGGACTCCATGAACCAAAACAAGCGCGAACGGGGGGAAGATAAATGCCCCGTCGGACTCGTCTGTGATACCAATGTGTTTCGTTCCCCGCAAAGCTGGGCTTTATGGCCCCTTCGGGCAGCCGAAGGCGACCCTAGAGACCAAAGAGATCGGTTTTACTTCGTGCGTGAGATCCAATCAAAATCCGCTACCGGGAAAGGCGCCAGAAATGCGTAAGGCTTGTTCGGACCCGCCCCAATACACACTTACTAGGGGAGGTTGAAATGAGCCTGAAATGGTGGTGTCTCAAAATATGGAACGGTGCACAGTTTTTGAGGCAACCAACAGGAAACCCACTCAGGGGATGAGAAACACACATCCACGAAGGAACCTGCGTCGGCAGCGACCCATCATCTGCGACGTTTCTGGGTCCTTCGGCTGTCCCAAGACTCCCAAGATGGCTTCCTTTTGGTTTCCCTGTGAAACCTGCAAAGGGGTAGCCTACAAACGCACCCTTCCTTGGGCCCTCTTTGGTTTTTGGGGGCTCTTTTGTATCCCGAGCCACAGTGGTGTTGTAATACCGGGCGATGGTGTGGATCATCTTCACCGCATTCCTCGCAAGGCTTCGCAAAAAACCCCCAATAAAACGGAAACACCCAGGGGTGGGGACTCGAGTTTGCCTTTTGACCCCTGTGAAATCAAGTTGGACCAAGTCCCTTTGCAGGGCTACACGTTTTTCCACCTTGGCTTTAGGGGCGACCTCCTTTTGAGGAAACAAAGGACAACCAAGTGGGGGGTCTCTGCGGTCTCTCTGTGCCGGACTCCTCACATTGCGCTGAGTCAACAAATGCAAAATGCAGCAAGTCTACATGAACCGCAGTGCCAGCAAGCAAGTCACATGCAACTTGGCCTTTCACATCCTACTGTCAGCCAAAGCGATGAGATATGAGTTGCTTTCAGTTGTGAGCTGTCATTTGTCCGCTTACCCTATACAATTGGTGATGTGGACTGGTGGTTTGGAGGTGACGGGGAAGCTTCCCATTTAATTACCCACAAGGGCTCAGATTCAGGAGCCTGAAGGGATGAAAGGGCCCAAAGTGACCAAAACTGGGGGAAGGGCGGCGGCTGGATTGACGTGAAACCCAAAAAACACCTTTTGGAGGAACCTCCTTTTTGGGTTCCATATCGATTTGCTGGATAGCATCTAACATGCTTGGGGCTTGAGGAGCGATGTGTGGGAACCCTCACACATAGGGCCCGGCAATCTCCTAGCTTCTCTTTCAAACAAACTCACAAAGGGTATGTAGCTTGCTTCCAGGTTGCATCAATGCTGGCAGCGTGTCCTGGGGCAGAAAGGCGTCACATGCAAATGACTTGGCTACGGGGGGTGGCTGGCGGCTTGCCTTTGGTCTCCTTTCAAGACAACCCTCAAAAGCTACCAACCCGAAAAAAGACACCCTCAAGACAAAATCGGCTCGACTGCTTGGGAGCAACAGGCCTTGTCTCAAAGCGCGTCACAAAGAAAAAGCATGCACATGCACAAGGAAGGCGTGCTCAGACCCGAACAAACCCAAGATCTTTCTCAGTGCCAGACCAAGACCGATGGGACAACTAAACGGCTAATTCGAAACTCACCTGCCCAAAGGACCTGGCAATAAATAGTCAACCTTATTGGGCCATGACTAGAAGTGGAGCAAATAGGACAACCAAAAGGTTGAAAAATCAGCTTTGGGCAGATGAAATGATGTTGTATGTATGTCTTCGAACACTGGGTGTACCTTGTCTAACAGGCCTGCCGCCCTGCCGCCCCACTCACTGACATCGAGTGAAGCTGCGATATTATCCACTTGCCTCAGGGTGTCCCTTAAAGGAAACCATAGGCATGGTTTGTAGGGGGGCATTCCCTCATTCCCTGCTGAGAACCAGCAAGTGTTGCTTCCCTTCAAGCCCCGAAAGGAAGCAACTCCGGGTCGAGCCCACGCCCAGGCGCGATGATGGTGCTGGGCGTGCCGGTGTACAAGGGCTCGATGAACTTCTCTAAGGTGGTGAGATATTTGACCTCACTCTCCAGATTTCCCCCAGCTCAGTGTTTGAGCCTGGACTCAAATGATGATATGATGCTTGTCCGCTCCACAGGCTAGCCAGTAGAAACGTTGCCATGTAGAGGACGCTCACCAAATAGATAGGCCCAAAAATGCAATTTGCAAACCATCAGCAGGGGGCAAAGATGTCACTCTTCATTGGAATGACCGCCAGACAAAAATATCTCCACTCAGCAAGCCTTCCATGAGCCGCAAACATCAAGCGTTGCTTCCTTTTGTTCAGCCATTCTGTTTGGAGGATGTTCGCAAACGGAAAACACCGAGTTTGCCATCCTGGTCCACCACATGGAGACCACAAACCTATGTCATGTTGTGCGCGCTGCATCCGGGGCACGTTGTCTTTGGCCTCGTTGAAGGCTTCCGTGATGGCGATCTCAATCTGCTTCCATCTGCGCAGCGTATTGAACACCTGAGCTGAAACTGAAGGCTGTCTCGGACTGTACAGCTCCCCTCCGCAGATTCAGAAAGCGGAGAAGAAAAAGAAGAAGAAGAAGAAAAAGTGAAGGACCATACAAAAGGGGCGTAGTTCCCCTTGGCTCATTCTATGGGCTGGTACTCCAAATCCGAAGTGAACACGATTCACAAGGCTGCCCGGGCTGTGCATTGCCATGTATAAACAAGCTTGACCTTTCATGTTTGAGCACTTTGTGCCGCGCTACCAAGCGACGGTGTGTCGTTGAATTGCCAAAGCTGCTTCAAGAGGTCCATGGACACAGACCAATGAAACATGGGACAGCAAAGCCCACCCCCCCATTCTGAGAACCTGCTTGATGGGTAGGGGAGCCCTAATGTCTCTCCTGAAACCGCTCGAATCTATACCAAAAACTATCGAAACGAGTCATCTTGGATTCGTGCTTGGAAAATGCCTTTCCCAAAAAAAGCCGAGAACAAACAAACTGCGTCCTAAAACGGATGGAGACAATACAAATATAACCTGTTCTGAAAACTGATACCCATCCCTATGACTACTTTTTCAGGCGGCACTCATAGCAAGTGGCATGCCCTCCGGCCAACCGGCATGGAAAAAAACAAGGGAAACAAGAGGAAGGGGGGGGGGACTCCTGGAAACAATCTTCCTCAAACATGGACCCTCTGGGTTCCATCTGTGGAAGGTGGGAGGCCAAAAAAAAACAACTGCCCACTGTCCAACAATCATGAAAGTGGACAGAATGGCTTTGGAAGATGACCGTCCTCTTTTTAAGACTCCCCTTCCGGTTTGGAAGAGGAATTTTGCAGCCCGAGTTGCAGATTGGCGATTCTTCGGCGCCACCTGCCGTGGAAAGTTTGGAAGCTCGCACATGGGACATGGCACTTCTGCCATGTGATCAGAGATTTAACTTAGGCGAGTTCCTTGCTGGTGGATTTGTCCAGTGGTGGTCTCCTTCCAAAAAGTGTCCTTTGCAGTAGCTTCCTGGCCGGAAGCAGCCTGATGTGGTCCTTCCAAAACCAAGCCGGCTCCTGGACACTGCCTCAATACCACAATAACTCTGGCCAACTGTTCCTCAGCCCGGTCTCAATCGCACCAGCCAATCCTACAGCCAGTCTCACTGACTCAATCACACTAGCCTAGACCGGCCATTCATTGCTCGGAAATTGAACTTGTTTTGCTGTGATGGGCAATATCGTAACTTAAGATTGATCCAATGCACAAATCAATCCACTTGGGAAACGTGTCGCAGAAGGTCTGTAAACAAGACGCCTCAAATTTGCATAAGACGGAAACCCCGGAGGCCCACAGACCTCACCTTCAACAATAAATTGTCTGAATCAGTAAATTGTCTAAATCAGCTGGCAGTCAGGTGAATTTCTATATCCATGGTCAATACTCATGGCCGCCATTCGACAAGAAGTCCAGGACCATCCCTAGAGCTGCTTTGACCACACATACCCGTGCCACGTTTGGAACCACGGAGGCCTCCTGGCTCGCATTTGTGATGGTGCGCAGCAAGCCGAAAACCATCTTCCTCTCCTTTGTCCTAGCGCCATGTGCATTCAAATCTCGGGGGATGGCTTTTCAAACAGCCTGTTTTTTGGATATAAATTACAAGGCAACATGGGGTGGAAAAAAAGATGGATTTTAATGAACTCGCAAAGCATAGAATATCACGAAGAAGCAACGCTCCCCACTTGCAATGGGAATAGACCGGATATCCTGGATGCGGTGCCGCGTCATAGTGATGCTGATAAGTCTGGAATCCAGACGTTTGCAAGGCCTGCAGGACTAGCTGCTTGATCATGTTCAGGTGTCCAAGGCAGGTGGTAAGCCGCTTGACACACCAACTCTGGCCTCAAAGCAACACAATAATGTTCCGGGTTGGCAAAATGCTGCCAAACGCGACAAGCTGGAAGAGCAAACTACGAGGTGCGTCCGCTGTGCCTTTCATCTCGTTGCACGCCCAAAATCCACTGACTGTTCCGACCCGAATACTATGCCCAAACGAACAACTCACCACGCTTTGGGCGCTGATAAGCCAGCAAGGCGGCCAACCTTTGAAGGCGCGTGCCCCCTCTCCTGAGCTGCTCGGTGATGGAGGTGATCTTCTGAAGCCTTGCGTAGACGGTTGTGTGCCTTTGAAAGACGAGTGACTTCCCGTTAATCGAGTCGAACTCCAGAAGTTGGCGGCGGCCCTTGAATTCCAAACAACTCCCAAGAGGCTAGCACCCCCTCCCCCCCCCACAAAAACAAAGAAAAGAAAAGGAAAGAAGCAGCCCTTTGTCAGCACGTTTTCTAAGATGTGAAAGCAGGCTGACTGAAAGGACACTCCATGAGCTTATCGTCGCAGTCACTTCTAGAATTTCCTTGTGAATCGCTGTGAACTGGATGGAAGTCCCGAAGTGCGGACTGTTTGGGCAGCCATTCCAGCACCTGTCCGATGACCTTTAGATTCCATAAAGGTGTGTGCTATCTCTCTCTCTCTCTCCCTCTCTATCACCCTCATCTTCCCCAAGCAGACACAAATATGTCACTAACTCTCGCCAATTAGCTTCGCTTATCCAATGCTCAGATTTAGGACCTGTTTGGCACCTTTCTGTTTAAGCCCCCTACTCTCCATACTCATGTTTGGGTGATGTTTCAAATTGTGTTAATGTCAACCTGACGGCGGGTTTTATAAGGCACAACAGCCCACCTGAGTCACGCCCCAAGCCATCCCAACATTCCGCTGCAAAGGACAGGTGCCGCGCCAAGCGTTTCCTCTTTGTCGCTTTTGATAGGAAACACGCTCAGACAGGTGTTTCGTCCACCAAAAGGAGCCCAAGATGGGCCTGGGGCCATTGAAGCGACATCCTCAAGCTTATGGTGGTTGATTGGAAGCTAATGCTAAAAAAAAAATGAGAACCCCTCATGATGGTCGCTTCCATGAAGAACGAGAGGGCAAACGCAGCCTTGGGCATGTTCCCCAAAGCCGAGCTCTGGGCCGATTCCGCCAGAAGTCCAGCTCTGTGCGGGGGCCGGCATCTCCAGAGTCCTGGAAGCAGGTCAGGGACCTGTCCGTTTTTCCAATCGCAAGCAGGTTTTGTTGACCTGGTTTCAAAGACTGGCTACCAAAAGGCTTCTGTGCGAATTTGGGGAGGAGGCCGCGGTTTTAGAAAGGAGGCTTTTATGGGAAGGATGGTTTCCCATGGCAAATGGAGCGAAGCTCAGTTCCCTTAGGAAGAGCGCTCCGCAGGCCCCCCTTCTGAAACCCTAGCAGCTGCACAATTCAACAAAGCGGTCTTACAACACACACTGCTGAGCGTTGAGACGTCGTTGCACCAGGCTTTTTTGCGCCGACCGAAGCTTTGAGAGATGTGCGATCTCATCATGTGACGGAAGCCAACTGTCAACTCCAACTGCCTGACTTTCCGACCCACCACACACAGCATAGTCTGACAGCGGCTGGGAGTCTTGGCCGCTCCTTCTGCTGGCCCTCCAGTGTGGTTTCCAGATACTGCTCGATCTGGCGGCACCACACCTGGCCAATGGAGCTGGGCCCAAAATCCAAGTCCAGGGGGTTTTGGGGACGCCGCCCCAACTCCCAAGTAAAAGAAGCCGGAACCGCAGGCACGGTGGGAACCCCGGGTTTGGGAAAAAGTTGATCAGCCGAATGTTGAAATCCAATAAGCATGGAAGTGTACAAACCGCCTTTGAGATAAAACGCTTCTTTTGGAATGAGTTCCTGTGCACCGAGCCGTATTCATTGGTGGGGGGCGTCCTTTCTGTCGGCCTTGCTACCCCAAAACACCCACAAATGGGTTTTTGGAGGACCCCCAGACATGCACCAGTTCTTTTGAAGGAATGTAGGGCTAGAAATATCAAGTAACCGCCCCGGACCCCCCGGTCGGAGCTTCCCCGCACACGCCGCAACGGGCGCCTCCAAGAGCTGCCCGTACTTGGTCACCAACTCGGGGTGGTCCTTCCGATTCCCCGACGGCGTCAAATCGATGCGAGGAAGGCCCGGGGTGTCCCGACTTCCCGACCTTTGACATTGACTTGTCAAAAGGAAGAAGAAAAAAAAAAGAGACAAACAAAAAAGCATGTCGCGGAAGAAAAAGTGAAGAACTGACTTGCTGATATTTGGGCTTTGTGATTGGTGATATTTTCCAAAAACTCGGATTCTCTTTGAAAACCCAACCCCTTTCATTCGAAACCTTGCCAAACACCTCACTTTTCCACGACCGACCGCAGAACCAAGATCAAGTTTTGCCCATGAACCTCGACCCAAGCCACGGAGGGCTCCTTTGCCACGTCGTTCAGCGTCTGGTTCCGCAAATCCACCTCCGTGGGCTCCGGGCTCGGCAGGTCGATGCCCCCCGACAGGGACTGGATGCCCTGGCCGAAAGCGAACCCCCCGACAAAATTCGGGGGAAGACTAGCGGCCAACCGCAAAAGCGATGTAGTCCTCCCCCCCCCCTCCGGGCCCGGCCTAGAGTTTTGCGAAACACGAGAGCCCTACAAGCCCCCCTTGAAATTGGGGCCAGTTTCCTTTGAATGTTATTCTAAACGAAACCCAACCAAAAAGGTGTCATGTGAGTCATGTGTATGATAAGGGGTCCAACTAAAACTGGTGAATGGTTTGAAGTGGCTTCCCCAAGCGATTTCCTGCGTAGCACGAAAAGCGTAGCCTCGGGAAAGAAACGTCCTTCCCACCACCCTCCCGCAAATGCTTTGTGCACAAACCCGTCTTGGAACCGAAGCCTTTCCTCTCGAGGGTTTTCAGTGCACCAAGCTAAACCACCAAATCTCATTTGAGAGCCAACCCCTCCTGCGACAACTCGATAGTGAACTTCTCGAAGGTTGTCTTGAACCTCAGTGCCACGAGCACATGAAACTCCTTGGACTGCACGTGCAAGTCTGAGTGATAGTGGCCAAATGGTCGGTTGGTACTTGATCGTACACGGCAACTCGCCACAAACATGAGCCCGAATCCTCCAAACGACCACATGAAAACTCAGCCTGGATGATTCTGATCACCAAGAGGGCTTTGGATTCAGTGCAGACCGCCGACGGCGACCTCTGTCGGCTACTAGGTATGCAACTTTCTAGTCTAGAACTAAAAAATGCGGTCCTAATGCTGTATGTCAAAAAAAAACGTAGATGAGTGTTGCTGTGGACTCCTGTCAAAGAAAAGCTTGGCTTGGTAATCTGATGCTGATCTCTTCAACTTCAGCATCTCCAATGACCATGACAGGCTTCATTCATCATCATGCTGCGTTCATGATATTATGGACGGTTGATTTGTATTTATTCCTGCCCATCAATCAACTTGCGTGGATTACATAGTATAGGCCCCGTTCCCAAAAAGTCGAATTTCCTCTCGAGTGAGTTGTCCACCATGAAAATCTGCCCGGCTTCCTTGCATCTACCAAAAGAACACGAGACGTCCAGCACCTGCAACCAGGAATCCTCAAGGACCGCCACGGGTTTTCGCAGGTTTTCCAACATCGGCAGATTTCTGGAAACCTGGCCGGTTTTGTCTGCCGCGTGGCTCGTTTGCCTGCTCCGGCTCGCAGGAGGACCAATCCGTGGAAACCTGGCTCACCAGCGGCTTGAACACGTCCAGCAGGCCTGGAACTTGCGCGAGCCAAACAGAAGATTGTAAGTTTTGCCCTTGTGGCTTCCTTTCACCTCTGAGCACAAACGCGCCCTTTGCAGCAAAGGGCACCCAGCACAATTACAGCCTTGCTACCGAGCAAATGAGGGAGGAAATTTGGCAGGAAGCATGCCAGAGCATGTTGGAGTCAAACGGGATTGGCTTAGCCAGTGAAACTAGGCTAAATGATAGCATACCGGGTTCTTCAGAAAGCCCTGCTTCCGAAATTCATATCGACAAGAGGCGCCAACCCTCTTGCCCCCCGACTTCAATCTTCTTCTGTTTATCTCGCAGAACCTGGTATGCGCAATCAAATGGATCATTTCCTCGGGAGTTTCCTACAATAGCGGCCCTCCACGTGAGGGGGGGGGGGATCTGTTTGGCTTCCTGCTGTTTATGTTTTGGATACCTCCAGTATCGTCAGCAGATCATCCAGCTGAGAGACATTGTGGTCACTCGGGCAACAGCTTGCTCATCATAGATGGGTTGGCGACACCCCGAGATCGGAGGGGAGCTTATGGCGTCCCTTCCAAGCGCCGCAAAAACAGGCGCCAAGAACTTGTAAGACAAAAACATAGCTAGTGGCCGTGAAACAGTTAGTAGCAGATATGGACCTTGAACCGAAAGCTCAGGCTCCAATTGGGTTGGCAGTCTCACAAAATAATGTGCATGCATATATACACATATACATATATATATATATACACATATACATATATACATATATACATATATACACATATACACATATACATATATGAATTGCGTTATGAAGGGGCAAGGTCTTTCCTCAAGAGACATTCACCTATCAGCATCTCAAACAACCCTGGCAACCAGTGAAGGACCCAGCTTGGTCGAGTTTGGAACCAGGGCGCTCAAAGAGAAACACTCACTCCCAGCTTTTCCTGCTTCGTAACAGCAAAGCATCGACGTCTTGCCATGCTCCGCCCTTCTCACGGGCCACGCCTGTGTTGAGACCTCAGCAAAGCATGGCCCCCCAATCTGAATAAAGAACCTCTCTCGGAGCGAATGACCTGAAGGGAGTCCCTGGAAAAGAGAAAAAGCAACAGGTGCCGATCAAACTCAACTAACTTTGTGGTCGGTTTGGGGATTGGTGGCTTGGATGCTCCGAGGGGTGGACCCACGAATCCAGAAAGAGGGATCCTTCTGACATGGAACAACCCATATGAGGAAGCAAACAAGGGAACTGATTGGAAGAGCCATGGAAGAAGCGCCTTCCTGGCTCTCTCCATCCTTTTCAAGGTCACCCGAAGGCTCTTCCCAAGTTCCTTGTGTGTTTCGCATGATGAACGGGGAGTCAAACCCTAGAGTTCCGGATGCATCTCCGCTGCGAAGGCAGGGAAAACCTTGGATCAGCTGGAATGAATTTCATGTCTCACCATGCCATCTGTCTTTATGGGCAAACAAAGCAGCAGGGACTGGGTAAGAGCAGGGAGGGCAAATGCCAATGTCGAGTAAGTCATCCCCAATTCCTAACTCCCAAAACCAATCCCATCCCTGCCTTCAGTCCCGGCGCATTTCTGCTTCAGCTTCTTCGCCAAACCAAACTACCTTTGATTCTGGTCACGTAGTGAACCTTATAAAACTGAATCATTTGCTCTCAACGCAAACTCCAAGTCGCGTTCTTTCGGGGTGACGCGGATAGGCGATGATAAGACACCTTCGAAACAACACCCTCAAGCGCTGCCAGGGCCCCCCGCTCTCCAGCGGCGAGGCTGCCATCTCCCCGAACAGCAGGTCGCCGTCTGAGGCCACGTCCGCCTCGCGGAAGGCAGCCAGCCGCCCGGAGGTCCGGAGGTCCGGACCGCCGCCCCCCAAAGTGCCGGTTTCTGTGGAGGTCCGTTTCGGAGATGCTACCTTTCGGTTTCAGGGACAACCACAAGGAACACCACAATTTGCCCCTCCCCCCCACCCCCACCCTATTTTGACACATACCTGTGTACATAAGTTCTTAAGGATTGGAGAGGGGCAGTATGTCAGGTCAGTGGTTCGCAACCCCGGGCAAGCACCACCGGAAGGTTTCCTAAGCACTTGCCAAGCAGCCTGCTTTCCTAAGTACAGCTCAGCGACCACTTTTCCTTCTATTAGGCTGTGAAGCCATCCTGGCAAATGGAAAACAATCTACAGGCCTTGGGAAAACCACTCAGGCAACCCTTGAATTGGGATTCCACACTGAGATCACCAGGCCGGGCCCAAAGCAGCAAGACAAGTTATGATGCAACTTGGACGCGGCACCAAACGTCCTCACAAAAGTGGACCTTGTTCGTGGTCGGGGTTGTGACCAACAAACATACAAAGTTGTACATGGAGTTTGGTTTCGGGTGGAAGGCGTGGCAAAGCCTTGCTCCAAGGGACCGTGGGTACTTGTGGAGCATGTAGTAGACAAGCTTTTTCCACGGTTTGGATGAAACAGCCGTATGAACAGATAGGTGGGTGGGCGGGCGGGCGGGCTGGCGGGGGCGGGAAAGCGCGCAGGTGCTCTTGCTCTTCTGGCACCATACGGTCGCAAACAACAAGCACTGTTGTTGCATAGTCCTGTACCCAAGGCTCCAAAAGTATTTAACCCCTACGTGGGCAAATGGCAAAATCGACCTTGAAATCTAACCAAAAGCGAAAGTGAGTCATGTTGACCCATCTAAGTAGAGCCCAGCATATTTGTCTGAGTGATTCGAAGCATGAAGCCACCAACCTCCCCCGCGCCTTCACGGGCTTCGAGTCCGCGACGTTTCGGAGGAAGTAAACCTCGTCTCTAACAGTACTGGAAACGGTGCAAGCATGGTCTGTCTGCCGGTCTATGGCTCCACGCTAGGATCAGTCCTCCGTCTTTGTGCGGATGCCAGCTATCAACCAATCCAGCCTAGCAGCCTTTCCATTTAGTAGCCTTTCCATTTAGTCAAAAGAGAGTACACTTGATCTGTACTACAACTTTCTCAAACCTATTGGGGTCAGCCAATCCGGGCCTTCCTCACCTTCAACCCTTTACGAGGCGGTCTCACAAAGAAACCAAGCCGGGGAGAAGCAAACATAGAACACAAAGGTTGGGTTGCTAGTGACTGATGGAACGATTTCCAGCCCACTGAGTGGCTTCCTTTGGCCTTGTACCATCCCAAAAAAGGCTTCCCTTCGGGAACCTGTCTCGCTTGGACCCTGTGTGCTAGGCTTACCCGGCCGAAAGCCCCCCAAACCGAAGAAAGCAAAATCTGTGGACTCTGGCAACCATGTTCAGCGAAAATGTGATCTGCAGTACGATATACTATATGTATGTAATGTCATGTCATGTCATGTCATGTCATGTAATGTAATGTAATATAATGTAATGCAATATAATGTAATGTAATGTAATGTAATGTAACGTAACGTAATGTAATGTAATGTAATGTAATGTAATGTTGTGGTGTGTTGTGTTGTGTTGTGTTGTGTTGTGTTGTGTTGTGTTGTGTTGTGTTGTGTTGTGTTGTGGTGTGTTGTGTTGTGTTGTGTTGTGCTATGTTACGTTTCGGTTCTGTTATGTTATGGTATGTTATGTATGTGTATATATATATATATATGACTGAACTCTAAACTGTAAAACTTGTGACTGGTATTTATTTTGACAATGTGATGTGATGTGAGCCACAAACTGTGCTATGTTTGCAGTCACCCACTTAAAGTGAACCGAACCAGCAAAAAATGCATGTCAGGAACGGCGAAGTAATTGGACATGGACCCTTTGGTGGGGGGCATCACCTGTGTGGGGACTTCGCCTCCAGCGAGCGACCCATGCTTGAGTGTGTTCCAACTCTCAAAATTCGTAGCTACTACTTCGTGAGTGCCAGAAAGAGAAGGCCCCGCGAGTCTATGACTCCACCCACAAGTCGCCAAACATTGGTAAGGTGAATCCAGTTGAATAAAACGTCCCTTGGCTGACTAAAAGGAGGGGTGTCCCATCTTACAGGAATTCTTCACTTCTGGCTGCACCCCCCGTCAGGTTGATCCGGAGCTTAAGGGCCTGCTTTGTGCGAGCATGAGCTACTCGTGGGTTCAAAGTGTCCTCACGTCAACCCAAGGGTCTCTGTTCCGACAAAGGTTTGCCCATCCAAGGGGCAGCTCTGTTCTTGATCCTCACATCTTCGTGCTCGCCCGTGGTAATCATGAGCTTTGCATCCCCTGGCCGGAGCGAGCTGGAAGTCGGTCCCGATGTGAATCGACATGCCAAGCCTGAAGTGTCAGATCCCTGAAAGGACTGGCTTTGTGCCGAGTCTCCTACCTCCACGAATTAGTAACCAGCTAGTTGGTACTGGTTCTTCACATGGGCCAACTCAGTGGTTTGACCGCCTTATTTGCCCGTCCGAGCATGGCCTTTGGCATCTACTAGTTCGTTGGCGTCGTTGATGACGTCAGGCCGCTGATAGTACACGAAAACGTGCTTGTGCTTGCTCTTTCCTGAGATTGGCAAGACACAAGCGACACACTCATACAAAAAGTGAGACACGAAGCTGTCAGCCTGAAAAGGCGACGAGGGCAACAGCTGTCCATACAAACCGATGTGCGTCGGGATGGGACTCTCTCTCTTCAACCCTGAGTGGAAAGACTTCTCAGCTTGAGCCGGCCTCAGAAAAGCCAAGTGGCCCTCGAGGAAGTCGTTTAACTTCTTCAAGTTGTTGTACTCGCCCAGGACTTGTTCGACGACATGGACCCTGGCCAATGCAAGAAGTTCCCGGCACAGCCGGATTTAATGTCAAAGCTAACTTTAAAAAAAGAGTCTTCACAAGCAAACAACATGATGCGTCATGATGACGATATTGATGATGATGATGATGATGATGATGATGATGATGATGATGATGATGATGATGATGATGATGATGATGATGATGATGATGATGATGATGATGATGATGTTGATGATGATGATGATGATGATGATGATGACGATTCACGCCAGACAAATCCCGGCTGCCCTTTCCAAGCAGCAGCACAGAGCCTCCAACCCGACACCTTCAAGTCTGTTCTTCATTCACACACGGCCTGCCGTGCCCAAATGTATAGGGCAGCACTCAGTGCATTTTCTTGAGGCTCCTGACGACTACCTGGAGTCTCTGTGACGCCTCCATTCCTAATAACTTGCCAAAATCTGATCACCTTTCGGCCCACGAAAGGAAATGCCGACCAGCTTCCGCGCAGAAGCGCGTTCCGCGCCTGTCCGACATGCCAAAGGCCGCGGCCACGTTGGCCGCCATCCATCGGTGCCTCTCCTGGAGCGCCATGATCTACCTGGCAGATCTCGCTCGGACCCGTTGAGGATCCGACCCAAGGACCAGATCCAAGGACCAGCCAAGGGAGTTGGTTGCTGAAAAAAGTGAGTTTCTGTGATGCCCAAGGGAGTCTTCATGACGACCTCATCAGTTCTGGGGGGATTTGCTTGACCACGCGCAGGTGCAGGGTGGGTCCCCCTTTCAAAGCCTCTGCTGGGTCGCTCCACCGGTCCCTTCACCAAAAGTAGAGCAGAAAAGGGACGTGACAAAGGCCCGCTGTTCATCGCCAGGGCAGAGAGGGGAACAAAAAGAACAGTTGCAAACAACAGCTTTTGCTTCAACAATGGAACCAGTTGAGGTCCGTTCAAAACCTCCGGAAATAAGGGTATATTGGGGAATGGTGCATACATAGGGCGGCCTTTTCCATCTGGTATCCTCCCTGGCAGGAGGGTTTTGAATGGATCTTAGTTGAGTCTCGGGTTCAGTCATTTCAACACATTGAGGAAAATGGAACGGAACATCCGTGCATAATACTGCCCCACGTGTCTTGTCTGCTTGGAGCTTGGGGTTTGTGACAAAGATCAAAGATGCACTCACACATTCATCTGATCATGGGAGGTGACAAAAGGCCTTACAAGGCAACCTAATCCTTGATTTCTGAGATCTCAGATCAAGCACAAATCTAGCTGGTGATGTCAACCCCACTGAACACAACGGGTAACAGGTCACAATTCAACGCCACATCCAGAAATTGTGTCAAGCGCCTTTTGGCTCACATGAGGCAATGCCATGTCTTTCAAATCTTGCCAGATGACACGAGATGCTGAGATGCCTCCTTAATCGTGGACCCGTCGCTTCTAAGCTCCCAAGCAACCTTCCTAGACTGCCCTCTCTCCAACCAATCGCAGAGATTCAAGCCGCTGGAGGCTTTGCTTGCCCGGCATTCATCCAAGGCACAGAGGTGTGGGAGGTGTACCTCAGAGACAGACTTCTCGACTCGAATGCAAGTCGCAAGCAGACTTGGCACAAGGGCCATTCTCAAGGCCAGAAACTTCAGCAGTCCCCAGAGACTCGAGATGGCGTTTGGCCCCAAGGGCTTCATTGCTTGCGGGGTACAAAATCTCGGCGATAAACCACCAACCATTTTTGAGGAAGTTCCACATTCAAGTGCATAGCCAGGCGGCTAATTGGGTTGTAATGTGAAGGTGCCGGTGTCGTGAAACCTTGGTCATGCAAATGGCCGAACTGCCTGCTTTCCAAGTCGGCCATGAGACATTGCATGCTTACAGCACTTGCTGCCACTGCAAGTGTCATCAAATCTCAAAGTGGGTTCTGACCCTGGAAACTAATCGCCTATGTACCCTGCCCCTTTTAGCAGCATGTGTAAGGCCTGCGCTTTTGGCACGGCTTGGTCTCTGGCAAATCGGCCAGAGCCAACAGTGCTTCGAGTCGGAAGCTCGACGGACGGTGCGAGGCAAGGAAACAATCAGAACCAGAGCTAGTGCTTTGATCTGGAACATCACTCTCTTTCCTCTTGCGGCCAACATAACACCTCAGAGCGACCATGCCAAATACAATGTTGCATTGACAGCGCAAATGAGACTTTCGATCTGCTCCCCGTTCTGTCCCTGCAAGCAAACCGAGCGAGGGACTCAAAATGGCCCAGTGTGCTATGCTGGCCCGGGTTGGTCTGTTTATATACACCCGGCAGAAAGTATGTATTTTGGGCAGGGTCGTTTCCCGGGGCTTGGATTACTTCAAGTTTGGGCTACACCAAAGAGCAGCCCGGCTCTCAATCCCCAGCCGCAAGCTCTTGGCGACCAGAGAACAAGGGGCTGCCCTGCGAAACATCACCAAAACTTCGTGTTCGACACGTGCTCCAAACACAAGGGCGGCGAACCTGCAGGGGGCCATGGCCTTGCTTGATCTGGTTATAGCAGCTTCTCAGCCTCCTGATTGCAACTCTCAGCCTGCTTCGGCATGAAACGACAATCGTGCGAGGGCCACATGCGAGTGACCCGAGCTGTCCTTCAAGACCAAGTCTCCAGGGCGATTTGCTAAATTCTGATCACTCAGTGGCTAGTTTCCCCACTCAGACATGTCCTTGGACTGGTTCTTGTAAAAACATACCAGCCGCCTGTTCACCCCTTGTAATTGGTTCCTGTCTGAATCCATGGGGTCTCCGCATCCGTTTTTAAAACAGCGCTACAACTTCAAATAGTAGCCTTTTGGTAACCATAATTTCCATGGGTTTGATTGAAACCACAAACCACTTTTGAGAGTGTGTTCGACTGTTAACAAACCCAGTCATTCACTTAAATCGAAACCACATCCCCCCCATCCCCATGCCCCCCCCCATCCCCATCCCCACCCCCCACCCCGCGCCCCACTGCATCCTGCATCCCTTCCCTGGGCCATCGTCCGCCTCTTCCATGCGCTGCGCCAGCGGCTGCAGCAGTTGCTGCCAAGCCTCGAAGCCTCCCAGAGCTGTTTGGGGATCTCCCGGATCCGCCCGGCCGAGGCTCTCTCTCCCCATGGCCTTGTCACCCATTCCCAAGGGAGGAAATCAAGACGGAGGCCTCGGGAGGGTCTCCAAGCACTTGGGACCCAGTCCGAACTGGGACCTGGATGAATGAGGTTGGGGTGGTTGAAGATGATTTTCTGCCAGCCAAACGGTTGGCCGCCCCACAAGGGAACTGGGACTGGCCCAACATTCAATCACTCACTTGCGTTTGTGTAAGTTGCTTGTGTAGTGCACTTATAGTGACTCACTTGCAGGCTTCCTGAAATTGAAGGGTAAGTTGAGGTACTCAATAAGCTGACCCGCCGGACTCTTTTCGATTTCTGGAAAGGAGTGTGGGGAGGTGCCAAAACGGCTGATGTGCAAATAAATGCACCGAGTGCAACATGGCTGTAAGAACAAGACATTACCAGTGAAGCCTGGACATTGTGAACATGTTGCTTGTTCAGAGATTCCATCCATTCACTCTCAACGCAAGTGACACCTGTCCTTGAACCGTAGTCCGTTCTTGCTTTGTATAAACGGACCCCTAATAATAACCCCCGCCCCCCCGTCCAACCCCAAAAGTTCCCGATACGAATTCTAAAATTAGCCAATACTAAACCTATACTAAACTTTCTGGAAGCCCGGTAAATCCCAAAATGTGCTTGTTAACGGTCACCCCTTTTCCTACCTTGTCTGCCTCCCTCAAAAGGTGTCTTTCTGAAACAAATCAAGCTTTTTGTTGTTAGATTTATTTTGTTCAAAGCTGATTCTCGTCCTTTTGAGCACTTTTTTTCTGCAAATCAAAGGGGTCCCACTTCTCCAGTTGTAACCCAATACTAAACAAGCCAATCTGAAGCAGCTCTGACCAAAAACCAGGTCCCTAAGATTAGAAACCCTCCGAAGTGGTTTTTTTAAAGGGGGGCGGGGGGACCAAATTATTATTAGGGAGAACGGATTTTTGCTAAACATCAGCTCCGCGGCTACGCACAACTGGCAACTGACAACGGGACACGGGCCATGCAAACTGGAAAGAAGGATAGAAGGATAGAAGGAAAGAAGAAAAGAAGGAAAGAAGGAAAGAAGGAAAGAAGGAAAGAAGTAAGGAAGGCAAGAAGGAAAGAAGGCAAGAAAGAAAGAAGGAAAGAAGGAAAGAAGGAAAGAAGGAAAGAAGGAAAGAAGGAAAGAAGTAAGGAAGGCAAGAAGGAAAGAAGGAAAGAAGGAAAGAAGGAAAGAATGAAAGAAGGAAAGAAGGAAAGAAGGAAAATGACAGAAAGAAAGAAACAAAGAATGAATGAACAAAAGACAAATGAGAGAATGTCGATAAACAAACAACATAATATCAAAAACAAAACAAAACCCAAAAAATACAAACGTTATTTCCTTCCTTCCTCTTTCCTTCTTTCCATGTTTCCTTGTTTCGTGCAATCGTTCTTCCTTCTTGCGCGCAGCATCGTGCGCGGCACGAAGCATCATGTGCAACATCATGTCCAACATCATGCGCAACATCATGCGCAGCATCATCATGCGCAACGCGCAACATCACACGTAGCTTCGCGCGGAGAGTCAATTCGCTGCACATTGCAGGCAAGGAAAGTTGTTTGCGTGCTGCTTTTCCACTGTAATGTGGAGTGCACTTTCCGAACGTAACATTGCTTCGCGCGCCACCTTTGCGCGGAAATGCTTACGATTCTGCTGCGGGAATGCACTTCACGTTTCAAAATTTGCGATTCTCACCACTGCAATGTCCTACAAATAGGAATCCATTCAACAGATTGTTCGCAGGGCCCAGGTTTCACGTCGAGACACCTTGTGTACACTTCCAGTCGGCGCTTTGCAAAGGGCGGCTCAACTGGTCAATTTCTCCTTCCCTCCCCACTTGGGAAGGATGCTCAATGACCAAAGAATCGCTAGGTGGATATCAAAACTACAGGCTTGATTTTAAGCAACCACCAATCATATTCATCACCACCTAAACCCTCCTCCCCACGACCTCAAACACCTGCTCCCTTTCCCCACACCCCAGCGCCTTCACGCGAAGGCGGGCCAAAGGCGAGCCTGGAATTTTCCCGCTTGATGCAAGCAGAACCCACCCAATAAACCAGGTACGTTGTAGAAGCTCCAGCATTTGGGGTTCGTTTGAGCCTGTGTGTCTCGCAAAAGTTTCACAAAAGTGGACTCCATGCAAATGGTGTTTTTCGTTTGGCTTCTCTCTAAAGGTTCAAGCGCACTGGCAATGGTCCAACATCGGATGTGGGGCTTGCTCCACTAGCACAAGGGGTTTAGTTTAGTAGTTTGGTAAAGCATGATTCAGGCCCTCAGAGTAGAAGCAGGCTCCGGGTGGTACCCTCGAAAACAGCCAAACGTCTACGAAAAAGCACTCCAGTGCTTGGTTTGCTTGCGCAGCCTTTGGTTTGGTTCGGACCCACAGGGCCATAAGCGCCCCGGCGCATTGGCCGCTTCCGCCGCCTCCGGGAAGGAGAAGTGCGCGGGCACGCGCCGGCACACCTGGCCAGAAATTCTGGCCAAAACAAGGGTCGGGCCATCCCTACAACGCACGTTCCAGCCACGAGCGTTCAAACAAGGTTTCAACGACCTCCTCTTCATTTCTCTTTCAGGGGCGAGCGGGTCAGGTTACTGGTCTTGCCCAATCCAATCCTGATGAAAACTCCCAAAATGTAGGCCATGCTCATGGTTTCCCTTCATTATGTCTAAACTCCCTGGGTCGGTTTCCGATTTGCCTCTCTCCTGGACATTGTTGATTTCCTTTTCATCTCCCTTCAACTACCCCCCTTTGAACATGGCCGAAACGGTGATGTCTAAGCCGGGCACAAAGGGAACTCTTTAAAATGCTGCAGAATTAGGGCCGAAGAGAATGAACAATGGCATTGGATCCTTTGTCTATTCTGAAAATACTGAAAACGGAAGGCCAAGGCTTGTCTCTTTCAATGGGTACCCTCAAAAGAAACACATAGAGCGTCTTCCTTAGGAATTGTTTGACAGACCTCAAGCGGGCGGCTGGTGGGCGTTTCCTTCCCAATGAAGGAAACCCTGCGCCCTTCCAGCCTTTTGATAAACTATGCAAAGGTTAAAACCTCCCCAACAAGCACCATTCCCACCACTTCTCTTCCCAAGCGCACCAGAACCCCACGACCGTTTGATGACTCCACAATACATTCTGCAAGGGAGTTCAAGCTGTGTCTCTCCAACTTAAGATCAAGCACAAGTGTCACAATCAAAACCTGGCATTAAATGGTCTATGCAAAGAATTACAAAGGGAAGATTCCCACACGCGTGATTGGGGCTATCCCTTGCTAACCTTTATCGGTGTATCAAACCATTTTTTGGGAGGGGTTGTCCCATCAAAAAAAGAAGACTCATCTGGCACAGGGCCTCGGCCGCAGCAGCACGCCAGGCAGCGTCGCCCTCTCCCACACGACGAAGACTCGGAGCGCGGTTGATTTGTTTTTTTAGTTTTTGGTGGGGTTGCAGCACATTCCAACAGGGGATCCAGATCGTTGTTGAGGGAATCTCCACACCCCGAACTGGGGGAGTTCAGGTCCTCCAATCATGTTTTAAGTTATGAGTGACTCACCTGATACATGTGACACGGCACTGAGGTTTGCACTCGGTCAGGCTGGCGGCAAGCTGTCTCTCCGTGAGGCCGGCAAAGCGCTCGTGCACCTTCCGTTTCCCCTGTAGCAGGTGGAGCCACATTGCGCCCAAGACCTTGCCTCGCCAAAAACTAACATGAAACCTGAACAGCTGTTAGTAGGGGTCCTCATTCAAGCTCCATGCTCGTTCTTGGCAGGCCATGGGGAACCTTTACATCACCAAAGCAAGCTCTTTCCAAGTGGTTTGACCCGACCGTGCCACTTACAGTAAGCAAGCAAGATTCCGGAAAATCCGGCATCTCTTTGCAACTTCCCTACACACACCCCT